ATGATGGTTTTTAACCACTGATGTAATACTATTGTGACCCAATAAAAGCCTGGAACTTTACACATAAGATGGCATTCACAGTGATTTCAAAAAGGGAAGGTATTGTTGATGAGCTAGGGAAGAGGTGTATTAGAGCTGGTAAGAAAACACTTGGTGCCAAACTCAGGAATTCCTGAAACACGGTTAGAGATCTAGTGCTCGAAATTTTGAAGACATTTCTTCACACCTAACAGAACGAATCAGGCTATGCTAGTCACAAATTTGTAACTGAGTGTATTCAATTAGAGCAGTATGAAAACCAGGTTTTCTGGTCACCAGAGTATCAGCTGTAAGCCATCAGTTGCACAAACCCTTTGCGGGCGACAAACGACAAACAAGGAAATGATGTACTAAATTCAATCTGTAATTTAAAATATTTTGTGGGGTCTTTGGGAGAGAAGATGCCAGCAGCAATGATAAATTAAAAAAAAACCTAATTGTCAACTCCATGAATCCGTATTAGACCTCTCTAGAAGAAGGTGCTTATTAGTGGGCAGATTAGCTTCCATTGGTAACATTAAATTCATCTCCCTCTCAAATTCCTCGAGATCTGAAGATATACGTAGGACCACAGTGTTGTTCCCTACCCACCCCCTATAAACCCAGAGACAAAGGTCTTCCTCATTTGGGGCCAGCGAGGAAGGCATCAAGGATCTTTAAACTACCCCTCCATCTCACGCACTAACACTGCATTCCCTGAGGTGGAGAACAACCCAAAGATCAACAGAGTCTAGCTGGGAGGGGCACTGCATTGACCTTTTAGAATTCAAGAGTCATCTCAAAAGCTGTGTTCTCTGGAGAAATAAGAATTTTGCACCCACAATAAAGGATAGAAAAGAGAAAGGTAGGGGAGGGAGGCAGATGGGGTGTGGGCACAGGTATTTTGGTGGAGGGCAAGTGGAACATGAGCACATATGGAAGAGCAAAAATGTAACCCAAAAAATTAAAATAAAATTTTGGGCAATAAAAAAATACTGTACTTCACAAAGTTTGGATTGATTAAATGGTTGGCACTAGGTGGTGGGGCAGGATCCTCTCTGTATTATTCTTTCAGTTTATTAAAAAATGTGAGATTTTTCATAATAAAAAGTTAAACAGAACTCAAAAATTAAAAAAAAAGACAAGAAGGGAGAAAGCAAACAAAAAGAAAAACATAGTTAGGTTTTGCACTGTCAAAGTCTGGACTGCATTGGGTCATCCATAGTGTTATAGGGCAGCCCTGATATTGAACGGGTTGCCTGGCTGTGGGACCTCACCTGCGCACTTACAAGGGACTTATTAATACTCCACTACAGGCACACACAAAAGGTTAATAAAAGGTTTATTTACAAGTAAAAAGGAAATAAGGAAAATGTACAACTCAGGGAGAAAATAGGGAAATAAAGTCTTTAATGCGTCCTACCCGATCCACCGACTTGGAAAACCCAAAGGCACTCTCAGAGCTGGCCAGACGCTGCGAGCCGGTGGAGAGTCAAAATGGGGGACCCCTCCAAAGCCCACGTGTCTGGCTTTATACCAACCTGGCTGCTTAACCCCACCCTCAGGTCCCAGCCACCTTCCCTTTGGTGGTGATGGGATTTGGAGTTCCCAGTGTCTTTGGCTTTGGCCTGGAGTGGGGGTGGAGTCCACAAAGCCTGTATGGAATTAGCTTTAGGACATCCTTTTCCCCCTAACAATAGGATGTGATCTATTCAAACTTTACCCAGAATGTCATAATTCTGTTACCCAACTTCATCACAGTGTAGGGAAACAGAGACAAACCTATTGTGGGACAGAGGATTTGCTTTGTGTCTTTATCTGCTAAAGGCAAGTTTTTAACATTTACTTGGATAGAATTGTGTAAAGAGGAATAATCCTCTTCTCTTCCAAGAATGCTCAATTTTCATATACTGATTAATCACAGTAAGATCAAGAGGTCCCAGCCAGGAGTCAAGGATCCCGAGGATGGCCCTATTGGTTGGGCCATTCCATTATTGGTGACAAGCATAGTTTACAACTTTAAATGACAAACTCTACTCTCTAAAATACATATTCTAACAACTGTACTTCCTTTCAACACAAACTAATGGTCTCAGGGTTACTAGTCAATATTTCCCCACACTTTATATCAAGTAAACTTTTAAATATTATAGGAAACTGCCTTTTTTGAAAACTGACTAAGCCCAAAATCAACTTTATGGTGCTAAGACACAGGTCAACAATGAGTTTAACCCCATTTTTTTGCAACTAGCATTTAATTAATTTCTGATCTTCCTAATCTATGCAAAACAGGCTCTACATTCTTAAAAGCACTTGGATTGACAATTCACAATTCTTTCAGATTGACAAGAAAGGAAATTATTAAACTTAATGTAAATGAAGGCTGACACAAAGATAATGAGATTTACACTTTAATTCCTCAATGTGGTGGACAGAGGACAGTGAGTTTTCCCATACACCAGATGTGATGTGGTTGGTAAATTCTTTAAAATGCTTTCCTACCGTCTGGCATGTGGAATATAGTTATCTGTTTCCTGGGAGAAGAAGATTTGCCCTAATTTGGATGGTCAAGTAGCATTTAATCTGAAGATCACATGATGCATGGCAGCAAGGGGCACTAAAACTGGCCATGGCCAAGGATACTGCCCAACAGCTGACAGTATATTTACCAGTCACTGTCTGAGTTCTCCACCCACATGCGCAATTGCAAGACCACTCAGGTTTAGAGAACAACAATAATGGGGTTTATTTAACAAACCAGAGAAAAACAAAGAGTGACCGAAGCCAAAAATGGCCTTTTACCTCACCAGAGCAGTGTCTGGTGTTTCAAAGTCTTAAACACAAATGCTCCCTACCTCTGCAGACCTGGAGCACCCGGCAGCCAGCCTATAGGCCAGGCTCCAACTCACGAAGACAACAGGAGACACAACAGGAGATGCTCCCCGGAGCTGCCCGGAAGCCCCAGTGCAGCACCAGACAAGTGACACTCAAGTTGTAACAGGGCGGTCCCCAGGAAAGGGGGAGGTTCCAACCAGACAAGTCTGGAAGGAAAAGAGCAAAATCAACATCAAGATAAAAGCTGCCATTGTCACCTCCCCAGGGGTCTCACCCACATCTGTGTCACCCAGTCCACGACCAAAAGACAAGCGCAGTTTCTTCACGTGTCTCTAGGCTCCATGCGCCTCCTCCAGGTCTCCTGGCTCCATCCTGCTTCCTTCCTCAGTCTCTTCTGCAGCTTCTTCTCTTCCTGCTCAGCTCCACCCTCCCTTGGGTGGGCCGGGGAACCTGGAACCTCCCCCTTTCCTGGGGACCACCCTGTTACAAAGACAGCAGCTGCAGCTGCCGAACTACCCGACAAATAGCGACACTCACGCAGCTCAGCGAGGCACCCGCCTCTGGGTCTTCACTTTTTCCTTCCAGGCTATATCAACAGCAAAGCTGGGAACAGTTTCAGTTGCTCAGCTACCTGCAAAGTCTCCAAACTTTTCTTCTCTGAGGTTGGCTGCCAGAAGCCTCTCAATGAACTTCAGAGGCCCAAAACAGCCTTCTAGAAGATTGGCATGGTGGGAGGAAAATGGATGACCTCAGAATGCTTGAAGATACAGAAACCGCTGACATGCTACAGTCTGAATCCTCACAGAAGATTGAATCCCTGGGCCTGCTTCTGCAGTCCCTTATATTTCCAATGAGAGTCTGCACCCAGCAAAGCTTTGTCCTGATTCCGCCTAGGGCTATTCATATTCACCTGCGCCACATTCCAGGGGGCACCTCCTGTAATAGCCTTCCACTTAAGCCCAAGGTTATTGAACAGAGTGGTCCCCAGGAAAAGGGGAGGCTCCAAGTTCCCTGCCTCACCCAAGGGAGGGTGGAGCTGATCAAGGAAGAGAAGAAGCTGGAGAGGAGCCTGGGGAAGGAAGGAAGCAGGATGGAGAGCGAAAAGGAGACTTGGAGGAGGCACGTGGAGCCGAGAGACTTGTGAAGAAACTGCACTTGCTTCTTGGCCCTGAACTGGGTGAAAGAGATGTGGGTGAATGACCCATGGGGAGGTTAACAATGGCAGCGTTTATCTTGGTTTTGATTTTGGTTTTTTCCTCCCAGAGTTGTCTGGCTGTTTCCGACCTTTTTCTGTGGGTCCCTTCTACAAGGAGCTTTGGATTTGTGGCAGTTTTTTGGGCCTCAGTGGCCCTGCTTTGGGCCACCCTGTTTGGCAGGACATTTACCCATAAGGGGATGCGTAACTTCAGGAGCTTGATTTAGAGACTATATTCATTGTCTAGTCTGTATTGCATTAAAGTTTTTAATATTAAAGGTCTTACATGTTTTGTCTTGATGCGGCAGATGGCAGATCCTATTTAGAGCAGGCAGAATTGGGGATTCTGGGGTGCCCCTCTCCCTGCCCTGTAACAGTTATAGTAAAGTTACAAGGACAGAATGAGAGATTTAGAGAATGAGACTCAGGAAAGGATGATTGACATAGGCCACCTTCCAATCATCACTCACTCTAGGAAAAGCCATCCCTTTGGACCTATCATCCCTCCATGTCAGTGTGAGCCTGAGTCCCAGCAGACACCAGCCTCCCCTCCAAGGGCAGCAGGGTGATTGGGCCAACCCCAGGTCCTCCCTAGCTTGCGGCTCTACACTGCCCCACTGCAGCCACTGTTTCCCACTGGGAAAAAGGAGCCTAGAGCAAAGGATGCCCCGTGGTCTCCTCCCTGCCTAGGAGTAGCTAAGTCAGCAGCTAGTGACCTATGTTCCAGCTGGGCCCTGGCTGCACCTGACCATCCAAGGGCTTCAGGAGGCTGTGCTGGTGTCAGTGGTGTGAACTGGGCTTGCCATGGAGGGGGAAAAGGAAGCAACCAATGACGGCAGGTTGGGGGGGGACTCTTATCTGAGCAGGAAGTCCAGGCAAGGGAGGCCTTGATAGTGACATCACTGCCCTGCCATGACACCCCACAGAACTTGGAACCTGGTTACCAGGTTCTGAATACAAACCCAACCCAGCTCATTTGTCTTGAGGTCTAGGACGAGACAAGATGTCTTGCTGTTGTTGTTGTTGGCCCAGATCCACGGGCAGTGGATCAAAAAAAGGCCGAAGAAACTTGTGGCATGCTTTCCTAAAATGCTTTAGGAAGCTGTGTGGATGTCGCAAGTCATTAGTCAGAGTTGCCCCCGAGGTAACCAGGGGGTTCCCTGGACAGGCCAGGCCGGGCCACCACTCTGATTCCCCCGACCCAGCCTAGACCCTGTATGTGCTTGTGGGGTGGGGTGGGGCGATCTGTGTGAGTGAGTGTGTGTGTGCTCATGTGGGGAGGGGCTGGCCCACCCAGGAAGTGGATCAAGGTCACACCCAGGACCAGCCTGGCTGGTGGGATGCCCCAAGAGCCACAGCTACTCCATCTTGCCCCAGCTGGCTCCCACCCTACAGGTGTGCATGTGTTTATTTCTAGGAGGAGGTCTCTGAAGTGCAAATTCAAGATATCCTGAGAAAACATACCTACTCACCTCCCAAATACCGGGAAAGGCTCTTTTTGAGACCCAAAGAAGGCACGAAAGGGAGCCACAGCTTTCAGACTCTGGCCCAGGTGCACAGGTCCTGGCAGCACGACCTGGAGGCTGTGGAGGAGCTGCCAGAGAGTGAGTAGCCCAGAGGGGGGTTCCCAAGCCCAACTGGGTCGGGTAGATACGTATCCCCCTGGGAGGAGACCGCACAGGCTGGTTAAGCCCCAGCAGCTGTCAGTTCTAGGACCTCTAGCTGCCGGATTTAGGGGGCAAATGCCTGGGGGCCACTGGGCTGGGCTGGACTGGCCTCAGGGCTGTGGGATGTGGTCTGTTTGCAAAGGAATGTAGCAGACTGGCATGTGGCTGATGGCTTCTTCTGTTGCATCTCCAGCTCCGTCTCAAATAGAGCAGTCGGACTCTTCTGAATGTATTTCGACAGACCAGGAATCCAGCCAAACTGGTGATTCAACAGAAGCCGACAGCAAAGGTGAAGACACTGGGGAATCAGCTTCTTTATGTGCTATTCCTTGTTTAGGGGGCAAATGCATGGGGGCCACTGGGCTGGGCTGGACTGGCCTCAGGGCTGTGGGATGTGGTCTGTTTACAAAGGAATGTAGCAGACTGGCATGTGGCTGATGGCTTCTTCTGTTGCATCTCCAGCTTCGTCTCAAATAGAGCTGTCGGACTCTTCTGAATGTATTCCGACAGACCAGGAACCCAGCCAAACTGGTGATTCAACAGAAGCTGACAGCAAAGGTGAAGACACTGGGAATCAGCTTCTTTATGTGCTATTCCTCATTTAGGGGGCAAATGCCTGGGGGCCATTGGGCTGGGCTGGCCTGGCCTCAGGGCTGTGGGATGTGGTCTGTTTGCAAAGGTATGTAGCAGACTGGCATGTGGCTGATGGCTTCTTCTGTTGCATCTCCAGCTTCGTCTCAAATAGAGCTGTCGGACTCTTCTGAATGTATTCCGACAGACCAGGAACCCAGCCAAACTGGTGATTCAACAGAAGCTGACAGCAAAGGTGAAGACACTGGGGAATCAGCTTCTTTATGTGCTATTCCTCATTTAGGGGGCAAATGCCTGGGGGCCACTGGGCTGGGCTGGCCTGGCCTCAGGGCTGTGGGATGTGGTCTGTTTGCAAAGGTATGTAGCAGACTGGCATGTGGCTGATGGCTTCTTCTGTTGCATCTCCAGGTCCGTCTCAAATAGAGCTGTCGGACTCTTCTGAATGTATTTCGACAGACCAGGAATCCAGCCAAACTGGTGATTCAACAGAAGCCGACAGCAAAGGTGAAGACACTGGGGAATCAGCTTCTTTATGTGCTATTCCTTGTTTAGGGGGCAAATGCATGGGGGCCACTGGGCTGGGCTGGACTGGCCTCAGGGCTGTGGGATGTGGTCTGTTTACAAAGGAATGTAGCAGACTGGCATGTGGCTGATGGCTTCTTCTGTTGCATCTCCAGCTCCGTCTCAAATAGAGCTGTCGGACTCTTCTGAATGTATTCCGACAGACCAGGAACCCAGCCAAACTGGTGATTCAACAGAAGCTGACAGCAAAGGTGAAGACACTGGGGAATCAGCTTCTTTATGTGCTATTCCTCAGGAACATGCACCCCCAGCAGGCAAGCTGGGGCCATCAAAAACCATTCAGGATGCTGCAGGTACTCCTGAGGACCTGGAGCTCACTGCATCGCTGAAGGGTCAGCTTGACATTGACCAGGGTCCCTCAGGAGGTCCTCAGGCACCTGAACTCACAGCATCTCTGGTGGGGGAGCCAGGCCAGGGCCTGGAAGACTCAGGACAGCCTGTTTGGGGTGAGCTCCCCCCACCTCTGCTGGGGGAGGCAGACCCAGACCCACCTCCCACTGGATGTCCTGAGGCTGCCACAATGACACCACCACAGCAGGTGGAGCCAGGCCCTGACCATCAGGATGTAGAATATACAGAGGTTGTTGAGTTCCAGCTGTAAGGGGGAAAGGATGCCCTGAATTAATTCTGTACCAGCTTTGTGGACTCCACCCCCACTCCAGACCAAAGCCATCAAGTCTTGGGAAAGCAAATCCCATCACCATCCAAGGGAAGATTGCTGGGACCTGAGTTTGGAGTTCAGCAGCCAGTTTTGGTGTAAGACCAGACACGTGGGTCTTGGGGGGTCTCTCTCTCCTCCTTGGCTTCACGGCTCGTGGCTCGCGGCCACTGGGATTCCAGGTCGGCAGAACGGGGGAGGACGCATGAAAGACTTTATCTCCCTATTTTCTCCCCGAGCTGTACATATCCTCATTTCCCCTTCCCTTGTAAATAAACTTTTATGAACCTTTTGTGTGTGCCTGCAGTAGAGTATTAATAAGTCCTTTTTAAGCGCACGGGTGAGGACCCACAGTCAGGCAACCCGTTTTATATTGGGGCTGCCCTGTAACAAAACCAGTCCTGCTGGGGGTGGCAGGCCCTGGCTCACCTCCCGTGGGATGTCCTGAGGCTGCTGAGAAGATAGCACCCCAGAAGGGGGGACCAGGCCCTGGCCCCAGAACGCAGGACATGCTAAGCTCAGACCAGCCCTGAGAGAGCAACCTGGTCCTGGCCAACATCCCGCAGCTTAGACAAGAAGGTGCAGCCTCACAACAGCCCTGCCTGGGGAAGCAGCCCCTGCAGGGATCTTGCAGGAAAACCAGAGGGGGCTCCCATGACACTACCCCTCAAAGGACCCAACCCTTTGCCCCACATCCTGCCTGTTCCCCCTCCAGGAGCAGCTGACAACTCAATGCTATTGCTTCCCAAACCCTTCCTCACCCACCTCCCAGCCACATGTCTTCGTTGATCTTCAAACTCGCCTCTACCCACAAAGGCCCAGCCCTTCTCTTATAGTTCTTAATTTTTTTATTATTATTTTTAATAGAGGCATGTTTTATTTGTTTGTTTGTTTTGTTTTGTTTGTTTATACATGCACTGGGTACAGTCAGAAGCACGGGAGGGTGAGAGAATTCACCAGAGCCAGAGCGGGGAGCAGAGGAGGCAGAAGTACACTGCTGAGGGGAGCAGCGGGCGGCAGGAGAGGTCTGCACGCCATGTGGGACCCTCCTTCGGTGGCTGGGGAGCAGCTGGGGATCGAACCAGCGCCGCAGAGGCGGTGGGCAGCTTCGCAACCCAGCGCTCAACCGCTGCGCCACCGGGGAGTCCCGTTCTTAATTTTTGATTCTAATTTATTTCAAGTTCAGTTTTGATTTTATTTCCTATGTTTTGTTTATTGTGTTAATGTTAATAAAGTTTGTGTTCATTTTAGCTGAGTTGTCCACTCCTTGGCATCCAGTCCCTTCACACTACCTTCTCACTACCTACTTGCAGAAGATGATGTCCCCAGTGGGACCCTGTGGCCAAACCACTTTCTGCCAGCCCCCCACAGCCCCTGCTGCCCTCAACTGCCTGCTGCCTCTATTCCTACTCCTGCCTGGGGTTTCCTAGGATGGAACTGTGTAAGGGGTGACTTTATGATCTGCCCAGCTATTTTCAGACAAAGAGATTCACTGTAGAGAGGGAAATCTGATTGGTTCCACCAGGAGATGTTGAAGGGAAGCCCTTGGAGTGAGACGTTCACAATGTTGTGTGGATGCACAGCTCAAGGGGCTTCAGGGCAGGTGATAGGAGACACAGCTACCTGTCCTGTGGCCACAGCAAAAACAGGAACTATGTGGACAGCTGGAGGACAGACCTCTTGATACCGGAATTGTCAGGCCTAGTCTCCCAGCCGGGATCGGATTTCAGGCTGCAGGGCAGCGCTGAGCCCCAGCCACTAGACCCCCACGGGTTGGTGTCTCACGAAGCCGCAGCAGGAACTTCGCAGACGCTCAGGCAAGCAAGAGGCAGGTTTGTTTAGAAGAAAAAGTTTATTGAGGAGAAAAAGAGCAGAAATAAAGTGGGACTCCCAGGCTAGGGAACCAGGCCTGGGAGGGGCAAGGAAGCCAAAGTGGAGTCGTGTCTCAGGGAATATATACCTTTTTTCCCTCATTATTCTAAAACTCCACCAGTCTCTTTGTGATTGGTTAGTTCTCGGCTGTCTCACTTAATTTGCTACTGAGTGCGGGTTCTTCACATTCCTTATCTAACAGCTTTCTCTTTCCCCATTTGTTGCATCTTTATCTTTATGGCCCAGTCCTCTGGATGGGCATCCCTGCATTGAAGTTAAACAGCTGCCCTTCTAATGTGACCATAAATTAAACCACTCTCCATTTCTCCAATCTCCGCCTCCCTTTACCACCTGAAGGAAACCAGGACCAGCATTAACAATGTTGTCCTTGGTCCTGGCATGTTTGTTTTTCCTAATGGAATTGGTTATATTTCTTTGGTTGTCCTTATCTCTGAAGCCTCCCTAAATTCTTCAGAGGTCCCCTCCTGCACTGTCCCTAAAACTGCCTAATAACCCTAGCTTGCCCTGTCTCACTCTCATGGGAAAGCGCTCCTCCCCACACATGGGCATAGCAAGTGTTCATGTTTCTGTGCCCATAAACTCCCGAAAGTCCATGTTTCCAAAGGATCAGAGTGCCCAGGTGTCCCCCAGGGGAAGCCGACCTCAGTGTGCAGGCCCATCTCGTCGGAGTGGCTCTCTCCCGCTAGGACGTGCCGTGAACCCGCAATTGGGACGATAGTGGGCAGCTCAGAGGGGCAGGCTGTGAGTCTGGGGACACCAGGCCTGGTGGCCCAGTGAGGAGGCAGAGGCCCCAGCAGGGCCCTGGGCTTTGCGGGAGTCTGTACTTGTGGGGCCGTTGCAGGGAGGATCTGGAGCCTGGGCTCTTCTGGAGACCCTCGTCATTGACCTTGGCCAGTCCATGCCCTTCCTTCTTCCTGTGCTCTGCACCCCTCATCAGAATTTTTGAGAAGCCCTTGCTGGGCCTGTGGGCCATCCCCTTGGCTCTCCCCCAGCAGGGCCAATGAGAACAGAGGATCCTTGAATCTTTCCTGAGGGCTTCTGTCTTGGGGGAATTTCCCAGAAATATCAACATGAATAAGAGGAATTGACTTGTGGGAGGAGTCCCGAGTCATTGTCCCCTTCAGGCATTGGCAGGTGTTTTACTGAATAAATTGATGTTGTGGAAACAATAAATTAGTGCCCACAATCGCTCTCTGGAGAGTGGTTCTATGCTCAGGCCCAAACCAGCTCCAGGGCACAGGCGACACCAGGGGGCAGTGCAGCCTCCTGCTGAGCTGTGAGGCCTGGCTGAGCATCATCTATTGTTTGGGCTTGGGTTTGTGTTTGTTTTCTTGTTCTTGATTTGATATCAACTGTAAAGGACCAAGGGAACACAGTTCCTGTGTCCAATAGACCCTTGTAAGGTCGAGTCCGGGGCAGAGATGGGGCTCAGAGTGGGGGAACTTGAAACTGCTGCCACCTGCATCCCCCGAGCCGGCTCTGCCTGGTTTGCACCGACCCTGATAAGCAGCATTGAAAGAACAACCAGTTCTGAGAGCAAAAACTTCTCTGGAAAGCAACTTCCACTCCGCATTCTCCACCTCCCGCCAAGGCCAGACCCTGCCCTATAAAAGCTTGCCCTTATCCCCCAACAGGCTTGATTTCTTGGACCCCCATGGGGGTGGGTGAACCTCACCCCGTGAGCGCAATAAATTTCTTGCCTATGAGAAACTTAGCCTGGCTCTTCTTTTCTTTACTGCCCCAATCCTTTCAGCCCTTTTTCAGCTTTTATTACTTGACAGATTTTCATTTCGGGGCCACCTAACTGCATATATAATAAGGATGTGTATAAATTGAGTGACATATGAAACTAAGATATATATATGAAATTAAAACGGTAAACTTTTCATATTATATACATAAGTTGATTTGCAGTATGTACAATTATTATGTAGGTCATTAGTATATAATATATTTAAAAATTACCTTACTATTAAGATACCTATGTATATATTATATTTAAATATCCTAAATTTGCATTCCTATATTTCCTAAATATATATAATATGTATAATATGTGCTGTGTATAAAATTTATAGATAGATTCCAACATTAAGTATATATTGATTAGGATAAATAACTAAGCAAAATAGAATTTAATGTATTTTTTGTGCTGTTTAAAATAAAATTACACTTAGTATAATCAGCTAATAGCATAGTATAATGATAAAAGTATAATGATATAATAATGATAATAGTATAATGATACATATGATTGGGTTATTAAAATAGAATGTGTATGGAAATAGAATATATATTTATTGTTTGCTATATTTTATTTAAAATATAGAGATAATGGAATATTTATACATATATTTTGTGTATACATAATTAGAATATGTATGTATGATTTTGTTATCTGTAGGAAATTATAGGATGGAGGAAATATTTGACTATATTTGTCCGACAAAAATGATAAGTTCAGAGAGTTAATATTTCAAAGGAGCCAAAATTATATCTCTTATAAAAACAGTCATTTTGTACTTTATTCCAGAATCTTCTGTTTTGTTGCAAGTTTCAGTGTCTCTAGTCTTCCAGTGATTTAAAAAATTTGTCATGATCTTAATATAGAGCAGATGTAACAAACGATTAAGAACCCACATTGACTTTTCTATGTGGGAAGTTACAGGATGGTGTTTGTGATGGGGAAACGATTCCATTTTTCCATGAATTGCAAAGGAGAAGATGTCACTGAACAAAAAATATTTCTCAAAGAAGCCTGGGACTGAGGCAACAGGAATAGGTTCTGCAGGGAATTGGGAGCATATCGGATTTTTCCTCCTGCTTTCAGTTAACTCGGAAAAGTTTTTCTCCTTATAAGACATGAAAGATGGTAGAGCCTGGAAGAGCTGTGTTCAGACACATTGCAGAAGCAAAGGCAAAATTGCCTTCTCATCACAGAAGTTGGCAAAGAAAGAAACTTCAAGAACAAGAACCCAGCACAGAGATGGGACAACAGGGTGGGAACTCAACTCACCCCAGCCTCTACAGTCATCAGCATCATGCCCTGTCTCCCTGAGCACAGGAATTTCCAACCTTATGGAGTCATTATTAGAGTCTTGGCTGGGAAGAGACCTTGAGCTTCTCATGCCTCTTTTAAAAATCTGGAGTAGGATCAGCACCACCTGGGAACTGTCAGAAATTCAAACTTTTGCATGTATCCTGATCTCTGAATCAGAAACTCTGGGGGTGGGAGAGAGGTAAGGAGCCCAGCCCAGGACTCCCAGGACATCCAGATTCAGCCAATATCTGAGAAACTCTGCTCAAAGATGTCAATATTTTCACTTCCCCACTATCAGTCCAGGTGAATCTGTTAGGGGGAAAGGATGTCTGAGCAAACTCCGTACAGGCTTTGTGGACTCCACCCCCACCGCACTGGGAACTACAAATCCCATGATCACCAAAGGGAAGGTTGCGAGGACCTCAGGGCAGAGTTAAGCAAGTAGGCTCACGGTTTGGGTTTTTAACTAGCCATGTGGCCAGGGTGGGGGTCGCTGGCTTGACCACGAAGCGTGCTAGGTTTTTTGGCCAGCTCAGTGGGTCATTGGGATTCCAGGTCAGCGGAACCAGTAGGATGCATTTACAAACTTATCTCCCTCTTTTTCTCCCTGAGTTATTCATTTCCCAATTTCCCCTTCCCCTGTAAATAAACCTTTTATCAACCTTTGTGTCTGTCTGCAGTTTAGCATTAATAAGTCCCCTTTAAGCACGCGGGTGAGGACCCACAGTCAGGCAACCCCATTTTTTATCGGGGTTTGCCCTGTAACAAATCCAGTGCTCCTGCTTCGAGTTGAGCCTGAAACATTCCTCTCTTTCTCTTCTACTTTGCTCTTGTGACTTTGGGGAACATCTCAGGCCTCCTTTCCCCTGGGCCAACTAGATACTGCTCCTCTGGCCTCACAGCCCCTGACTCACCTCCCTCAGGGATCATAAAATGGTGTTCGAGTTGTTGGCTTGTGCTCCTGTTACAGGTGTGCAGTTTTAATCATTTTATTTTAACCCCCAGTGTATTGTCAACAGAAGACTTAATATTTGTTGACTGGGCTGACATTACCGGGCTGGCAACTTTAGAAAGAGTAATAATAATACCGTCTTCCACTTACTTGGCCCCGACCACTCTATTTCCATAAACCCTCGCCAGCCTGAATTTCAAAAGCATGTTTTGCTGCGTCTGTGAAGCCATTTGTAGGGAGGGAATCAAGGCATCCAAGCAAGCATTGCCAGCCCGGGGCTTCCAGAGCCAGAGTGTCTGCTCTTCAAGTGGGCGGGCTCCCACGCTGCAGGCTTTTTGACCAAGCAGTTTTGAGTCCCCCACATTAAACAAAATCTAATGGATAGACCGTCACAGACCGGAAGATTGGTGGTGCTAATTCCTTGCAGGCACTGCAGGAAGGCCTGTGTGAAGCTCCACCACGAAACTCAGGGTTATCTGATTCATTCATGATTGGAGAATACAAGGTCAATATATATAAACACCAACTTTAATCCTGTGAACTAGCAAAAACAATTGGAAATAGAAATGAAGCAATGCTATCTACAATAGCATCTGTAGGGGCAGGAGGACATGGAGCAGGATCTCTATGATCCGAGCAGATGGGGTAAAGAAGTGAGAGTCCTGGAGTGGCTTTTGCAGGCTTTTATTGGGATTTACCAGGCACACAGCAGGCAGGGGTGGTGGGGGGCCAGGAGGCCCTGTCAGCAGGCAGGGGTGTTGGGGGGCCAGGAGTCCCTGTCAGCCTCCCGGCCCCCCCAGCAAGTCTTCACTCTTTCTGGGCTCTCCTGCTTCTCGTGTTCTGCTCTCATGGTTCTGCTGGCATCCCCGTGACGCGGCCCTTCTAAGCGCAGTATGAGCCCAGGCGAATCCCATCTACATATGCCCACACCTATTCCAGGTGCCCGCCATCAGTCATGCATTCAGGACCACAGGGATCCATCATCAATCCTAATGACAGGAGGGCAGAAAAGCCTGATATCATTTACTTACCCTACAGCATCCAAATACGAAAATACTTAAGAGATACATTTGTCAAAAAATGTACAAGATCTACTACAAGGCATTGAGAAGACCATTATCGATTAGTTTTTACTTCCTAGTGCTTGTTTTAAACAGAATCATGTGAAATGTATCCTTGTGTCTTTTTCCTTTACTCCATTTGTGGTTCCTATTGCTAGTTTATTATTGCTGCTGTACTCAGACTTTTAAGCGAGAGGAAACCATTAGTCTAACACTCCGGTACAACAGCATTAAAATATCCTAAGGATATGCACAAATGTAAACATATTACTGTTTGCTGAATTTTTTTAAAGATTTATTTATGCATACAAGAACCGGGGTACAGGCCAGAGATGCGTGGGGTGAGAGGATTCACCAGAGACAGAGTGGGGGACAGAACAAGCAGACTGACGAAATACACTGCTGAGGGGAGCAGCGGGCGAGACAAGAGAGGTCTGCCGCGCCATGTGGGTAGCTCCCTGGCCGGGGATCGAGCTCGTGCTGCAGAGGCTGCGAATTGCTTCACAGTGTGGTGCTTAACCCCTTGCACCACCAGGGAGGCCCTCGTTTACAGAAAATTTGATCAATGGCTCTGCTCAGAGTCTATGGAGTTTCGAGACTGTGTTTGTGGAAAATACATCTTCTCAACGGGCATCTCAAAAGAATCCAATGTCCTCATTTGATGCCTCTAACGACAACAAAAAATCAGCCCACACCATAACGGGAAGCGCTCCCCGTTGGGCCTTCACACCTAGCAGAGGGCAAAGACTCCCTAATGCGCAGGCGCGTCTTTTGCCTCGCGTCGCCAGCAAAGGTCTCCACACGCGCTGACACCTCCGCGCAGACAGCGGAGCCATCTGCTGCCCGGACGCGGCACCGCTGCCTTCCGGCCAATCCCGAGCGCCGTAGCGGTCACGTACGCGCCGGCGCTAGCCCGCCGCGTCCCGCCTCCCGCCCGCGTACTCCCGCGAGCGCGGCCTCGGCCGCCCCAGCATTAGAGAAACCCGGAAAGCCCACGTGCGCCTGCGCAGTGCGGCCCGTGGGCGGGACGCGGGAATGCGCCGGCCGCGGAGTGGGGCGGCCCCGCAGGCTGGGAGCCGGAGCGGCGCCGAGGGGGCGCGGCGAGGCGGCGGGCCCAGCGCGGAGCCGGCTCGCTCTCCCTCCTCAGCCGCCGAAAGTAAACTTTGCGGCTCCCCCCGCGGCGCCCCAGCGTCCTCGGCCCGGCCCCCGGGCGCGCCGCGGCCGGCCCGCAGCCCTCCTGAGCCCGGGCCTCGCGCCCGCCCCGGCGCAGGGCCTCGGCGCCATGGACGCGACGGCGCTGGAGCGCGACGCGGTGCAGTTCGCCCGGCTGGCCGTGCAGCGCGACCACGAAGGCCGCTACTCCGAGGCGGTGTTTTACTACAAGGTGGGCCGGGGGCGGGGTCCTGGGCCGCGGCCACGCGCCCTCTCGGCCTCGCCTGGCCCTGTGCTTGCCTCCTGCGCGCTCGGGTTCAGGGGTGCGGCCCCCCACGCCCTCCCGGGGTGCTGCCGCCGCGGGGAGGCTTGTCGCGGCTGCGGGGCCGCTGCCCGGGGTGCAGGCTTGGCTGGCGGGCACATGCCCACCGTTGAGCTGCTCCTGCGATTAGGGGTGGCGAGGTGGCCCTGAGCTCAGGGGTGCTGTCCCTTGGCTGATTTACAGCCGGGGGAGGGGCCTTCCGAGAGACGTGTGCCTTGAAGACAGTCAATTAAATATCAATTTTAAAAGCCTTTATCGTAGCATTTCATGTTTATCTTTGTGCTCGGCTGACTGCGCCAAGGTGTGCCCCCCGCCCCCTTTTAGAAAATGGACTTGGAGCGCCCTGTTCATACTGTCTTGCACCTGTTCTTTCCACTTGGACTTTTAAAAATGATTAAATGAATCCGTCTAATCTAATCCTGTTAGAGACGCGTTGTATGTCTTTATGTGGATGTGCTGTAATTTATTTACAGGGTATTGGCCATTTAGGTTTATTCTGCGTTTTCAGCATCCTATGCCATGGTGCCATCACTGTCCTTGTAAAGTAATGCTTTAGACATGACAAGTATCAAATTGCTTTGATCAATCTTTTGGGTAAATCACCGAGAGCAGAGTTAGTAAATCGTGAGAGTATGAGCTTCCACAATCCACACTGTGCTGACTAGTGTTGAGGATTTGCAAACACGCCCCTCTGCCTCTAGCCGGCCCCTCTGCTTCCTTGTGGATCTAGCTGTATCCTCATATTATCACCTTGTCTTTTTGAAAGGATATTAGACTTCGATAATATTTACAGCAGTAGTAATTTTTTTCCATAAATGCTATATTCTTGGTGATGTGGTTTGCTGTTCTTAGATTATGTTTTATTTTATTCCTTTAATTTTATAATCTATTGAGAGACTTCTGGTGTTTCAGAATCATTCCTTTGGGGCTTTTTTTTTTTTTTTTTGACATTTCTATGAAGGTGGCATGTCTTAAAAATTCTGTTTCAGTTGTGTGAAATGACTGCCAAATATCCCTAAGTGAAAATAGCGCTATATAAAAGTTTTTTCTAAAGCAAAAGAAATTACTAAGCATCGCCTCTTGTTTCGCTGTAGAATTACATGTTTTGAAGAATATTTTATCCTTGAGAAAGAAAAGTAGTTGCTCTTCTAGGAACTATTTATATAAACGTCATCAGATAGTGTCATGTGTCACTGTTGTGATTTCTTCATTGTGTGTCACTGCAAATGTAAGTGACATAAATTGATATCAGTAAAATAAAATTGATATCAGTAATTTTAAAACCTGGTTGTAGTTCTCTTAAACCAGGTAATTATTTGGAAATCCATACTTACATGCAAGATAATTGGACTGTGTGTACATATTTATACACACCTGTGTCACATCAGCTTGTTGAAATTAAGTATAATTTTTTTTTTTAATAGAGGCATGTTATTTATTTATTTATTTGTTTGTTTGTTTGCTTTGTTTATACATGCACTGGGTACAGTCAGAAGCGCGGGAGGGTGAGAGAATTCACCAGAGCCAGAGCGGGGAGCAGAGCAGGCAGAGGGACCGAAGTACACTGCTGAGGGGAGCAGCGGGTGGCAGGAGAGGTCTGCGCACCATGTGGGACCCTCCTCCGGTGGCTGGGGAGCAGCCGGGGATTGAACCGGTGCCGCTGAGGCTGCGGGCAGCTGTGCAACCCAGCGCTCAACCGCTGCGCCACCGGGGAGGCCCCTAAGTATAATGTTTTGTATTTAGAGAATGATGGTACATATCTGAGTTACAGAATCTGAGGAAGTCATCTCTTTTCTGTTCCCTCACTCTTCAGACTGAATTTCCATCTGGCTCAAAGCTGTACTTTTCTTTCTGGTTTTGTGAGCTTCATTGAAACGACCCCTGCCTCAGTAACTGGATTCAAAAAGTGATGCTCAATCCAGGATCTCTTTGCATCCAGACAATTGAGCTCCAGGCTCCATGAAGAGCACATGCTTAGGTCACTGCAAATGAGGTGTTTTTACTTAGAGAAATGGCTGGTAGCAGTGTCATCTTCCTGGAGTGATGACGGGGAAAGCAGAGGCTAGTTCTCACTAACTATAGCACAACTGACTGTGAAAGATGAATCCAGGTTTTGGTATTTTACACAACTGAAATGAGCTTTGAAATGTGTTACCTTTTCACAGAGTTTTCTGGGAGTGAAAGGTTTTCTTCCCACTGAGAATTAACCTTTTTAATTTCTTGTAATTTTTTTCTCGATATTTAACTTTTATAGGCTATTATCTGTTCAAGTGTTAGTAAGGCTCAATTTATTTTTTCAGGGATTATAATTTAAATCTGACCTATTGAAAAAGGAAAACAGCAAACCACAGCTATTCTAAGAAAATCCTTATAATCAATCTTTCCTATTTTAGTTGGTAAATTTTCAGCAGTATGTGAAAATTGAGAGGATTGAGAACTAAAAGAAAGGCATTGGGGGAATTATACAACTCATTTTATGAAAAAAATACTGATGCCATAGAAAACTCTGGTGAGTTAAGTGGTCAAGAAAATTCAGACTAATCCACCTACTAAGTTCTCTTGGATTTTTAATTTTTTTTTTATTTTTAGGAAGCTGCACAAGCCTTAATTTATGCTGAGATGGCAGGATCAAGTCTAGAACATGTTCAAGAAAAAATAAATGAGTATTTGGAAAGAGTTCAAGCTTTACATTCAGCAGGTTAGTAGAGGACTATTAAATGTGTCACTGGTTTTGTTTTCCTTCTCCCGTCAGTTCTTAGTTTCCTTTTCGTCTTTGGATCTTGTTCCTCATTCTTCTGCTCATTCCTCTTTGGGTAATCACATCTTTCAGTATCATAATAAGAAATTAGAATATAGATCTGTGAGGAAGAACCTTGGAGATGATAATGTCCAATCTCCTTTTAACTCTTTTTTTCCTTCTGATTGCAAGTAGCTTAGAGGAATCTTATGCAGCACTGCCTGATGAACTTTGTACTATTTTCCACTACTCATTCTGAACAGCTATGTGAAGTTATAGGCACATAGTTAGGAGAAAGTACACAGATGGTGGGTTATCAGCATTCAGATAGAGCATCATTGGCATTTTTTAAATATCTGTCAAATGCCTGCTGAGGATAATGAGGTTGAATGACTCCTGGTCAGTGTTTAAAGATTTTAGTAATAGGTTTCACAACCCTCCTTATCACGGTCTTCAATTTCAAGACCTTAAAGTCTTTTTTTAGACCATGTCTTAGAACAGCAACATGTAAGCAGAGACCTAGAACTGCTTGTCTTTATTTTTGTAAACAGCATGACAAATGTAGTGATACACGTACACAATAGGCTTGATGATCAGCTTTGTTAGAGGTTTATGGTTACTGTCAAAATTTTTGTTCACATGCATGGAAAAGAACATGTTCATAAGTAAAATAAAATATGTACAGCAGGGATATCACTAAGGGCTCTTTTTAACTCTTTTTTCCTTCTGATTGCAAGCAGCTTAGAGGAATCTTACTCAGCATTGCCTGATGAACTTTGTACTATTTTCCACTATTCATTTTGAACAGTTATGCGAAGTTATAGGCGCATAGTTAGGAGAAAGTAGATTTGCTCATTGGACTTCTTGTTACTGGAATCCCCTTAAAAACAAGGTAGATTAATTTAAGACTACCCAGAAATTGTGTGTATTGAAAAGTGAAGTGTCTGTCAGGGCCTATACCTGATACAAAGTTACATAGACTTATAGATTCAAAATACTATGTAATCAAAGAAGTTTGTGTTGCCAGCTAAGTAAATGAGATTTAAAAATTTTTTTGCCCAATAATCAGGAACTTTATTTCAGAAAGTGTTTTCAAATAAAATTTTCTCAGTATGGTAAGTTTGAATATAAGAAAAGTGGACTGCCTGTGTATCAGGACCTCACTTGATACTAAGTTACCCTGACACATGTATCCAAAGTGCTGTGTAATTCAGTGAAACTTCATTTTCTCAACTAAAACGAAGTGCCTAAATTTATAAGTGTGATATTTATAAAATTGATATTAAGGCACAGAATGAGATAATCCTAAGCTCTTTAAGAATAAAGACTTGCCAGTGAAAGAGAAGTAATGTTCCAAAAGGTTTTTTAAAGCACAAAATGCCTTAATTATTTTGCCAGCTTTTTCACCTATTTTGTTCAATAAGTGGAGCTTGATTTGTAGATAATTCATTGGTTTCTTTAATTATTATTTTAAGCATTAGAGTCCCTTTTCAAATAAAAATTTTGTAGTACATTTAGAAAAGCCTTAAAATTAAGATTGAAAAGAGAAGGGGAATTAGTCAGTTTTTAGAGGTTTTGTTTTTTTTTTTTTAGCTTCCTAAACTGTTTATTTGTTCTTGAACTTAATTGAGGTAACATTGGTTTACAATGCTTGTGTATATTTTAAGGCCATAGGTTCACACATCTTTCAATGTTTGTACCACACCATAACCCTCTACCACAGTCCACTGTCCCCTGCCTTTCCCTCCTGGAAGCCTCAGTTGTGCATTCAGATTTCTAGGGTTTGTTTTGGTACAGTTTTGTCCTTCTTAGTAGTCCACATACGGGTAAAATCATCCAGTATTTGGCTTTCTCCTAACTTACTTTGTTTTTGCTAACTTTTTAAAATGAAGGCTCATCCAGTTTTGTTAAAGAATGTTTTAAATGTATTAAAATGATATGTTGTTCCCTATATGTACAATATTTTGTCTGTGTGACTTTTTTTCTCATTCTAGTTCAATCTAAGAGTACTGATCCTTTGAAATCAAAACATCAGTTGGACTTAGAGCGTGCCCATTTCCTCGTTACACAAGCTTTTGATGAAGATGAAAAAGGAAATGTTGAAGATGCTATAGAATTGTATACAGAAGCCGTAGATCTCTGTCTGAAAACTGTATGTATAACTACAAGTTAAATTTGGTGGATTATGCTAAGTAGTTTCTTCCCTTACTAATGAATTTTACTTAATTCCTTAAAGATAAAAAATATTGTATCATTATAAGTGCAACTTCAATTAGTTGTCATTAAAAGATAATGAAGAGAAAAAGAGTGAAAATGGGTTTTGACATCTTGTTTAAAATTTGACAGTATTAAGATACAGTGAATAGACAATTGTTTTTTAAATTACAAATCCTATTTTTAACCTTACATAAAAGTAGTTAGGAATTCACCATCACAAATTTATGAATTTAGAATAAGCTTCCTTTTTTTTTTTAAAGGTTTATTTATGCATGCATGCAAGAACTGGGGTACAGGCCAGAGGTGTGGGGGGGGTGAGAGGATTCACCAGAGACAGAGTGGGGAACAGAACAAGCAGCTCGACTGAAATACACTACTGATGGGAGCTGCGGATGAGGCAGGAGAGGTCTGCTGCGCCATGTGGGTAGCTCCTTGGCCGGGGATCGAACTCATGCTGCAGTGGCTACCAATAGCTTCATAGGTTGCATCTTAACCCCTTGCGCCACCAGGGAGGCCCTCAGCTTCCATTTTTTTCCCCTTCTGATTTCAGACACTAAAAAGTAAGCTAGTGGTTTGGGAGAACTTTATTAACATGCATTGTGAAATCTATGTTGGGTGACATTTACTGCTCCCTGCGATCCCTGGTTGGGACTGTTAGCTTTAAGGAGCATCTAGTGCACAAGTGCTTCTGACAGGAGGGTGAGGAGAGGTAGTAGAGAACAGTGTTCTCAGTTTACAGGTCTGGATTTTTTTTGTCCAGAGTCTTTTGTTTAGGAGAGCCATCTAGCCTTATTTCTGTGGGACTTGAGACTGCAGGTTCTGTGCTAGTCTGAGGTTCCTGCTGCTCAGTCTTCCATGCACCATGATTGTACAATTGTGGCTCAATACCTGTTCGTATCATGTGGCTTTAAAGTTTCTCAGTGACAAGTTTTCAACAGTATTTTATTTATTTATTTTTTTTTAAAGATTTATTTATTTATTTATTTATTTATTTATTTATTTATTTATACAAGCACTGGGTATAGTCAGAAGCATGGGAGGGTGAGAGAATTCACCAGAGCAGGTTGCAGAGCAGGCAGAAGGACCCAAGTACACTGCTGAGGGGTGCAGCGGGCGGCAGGAGAGGTCTGCGCGCCATGTGGGACCCTCCTCCGGAGGCCGGGGAGCAGCCGGGGATTGAACCGGCGCCGCAGAGCCCGCGGGCAGCTTCGCAACCCAGCGCTCAACCGCTGTGCCACCGGGGAGGCCCTCAACAGTATTTTAAATAATACCTTTAAGGATGAAAATAAAATGTCTGTTTATTCTCGTAATTTCAGGAAGTGTAATGTGCACTGTAAATTTTTTGCTTGGAAATATCATGGATCAGGCAAATTAAAAATAATTATGCTTCAGAATGTCTGTCTTTCTTTCTCTTAAGTCTTATGACACTGCTGATAAAACTCTGCAAAATAAACTGAAACAGTTGGCTCGACAGGCACTAGATAGGTGAGTTTTGGTCACTCAAGTTCTTTTCCATGGATGGCAGTGTACTGTGTTACTTTAGTGTAACAGATTTATGTATATATGTGGTAGAGCTCATGGTAATGTCTGTCTTTAAACTGAGATCTAGAGCAAGTTTACCTTCTTATTCTAAGAGAATTGACTCCTCTTTGTAGTTCCTGGCTTTAACCTTAAGAAGTAGTAACCAATCAAGACATGTTTTATTTAGTTTTTGCTTTGTATAAAAAAAAAATGGTCATAATATTTTAAATGGAAGACTTCCCTCCAGTGTACAACATCAGACTTCTTAAGAGGAGCACTTCAGGGGGTTTTCCAGAGCTATTACTGAAAATAGAGAAGTTGGGAATGAGCCTGCTTGCTCTTATACACATACCTCAAATTAGACAATGTGTGTGATTCCTTCAGCTCTTGTTCCAGTGTCAGCTTTTCAGGAAGACCTGCCCTATCTATTACTTAAAATTAGATCTCCAATACTTCCACCCTACTTATTTCCCATAACTTTCCACTTTCTTAGTATGTGAAATTTACCAGTTTATCATGTTTGTTATTAACATCACTGTATTCTTTTCAAACCCATCACCTGCAAGTAAGCTCTCTGAGGGCAAAGATTTTGTCTGTTTTGTTCAATTCTATAACCAAATACCTAAGAGAGAGCTAGATATGTATTCAATTGGCATTTGTTGAAAGAATAAATGGCTTTATACCTCTTGAAGAGAGTTATGCCTCCTGAAGAGTGTTATAGACATAGGAAAAAGGGTGGAAATTACATTTATCACATGAATTAATAGAATTACCTTCTTTTGAGGTTCTGAATAAGTAGCACTGCCACCCCCAGCCTTTATTTTTTTTTTTAAATTAAGGTATAATGGCCATCCCTTCTTTTCATTATTATCATCTAACCTTTAGTTTATTTCTCCAAATTCATGAGGAATTGGGCATTTGACACCTAATTATTTTCCCCATTTTGACTTCTTTCGCCAGTCAGAATCACAAATGACTCTTACTACTTAGGTGGCTAACCAGTCAGTATTCTCTTAGTCTATCCCAAGCTCAGTCATGGGTTGGGTCAGTCATGGGTTCCTTTGAGGAGCTGTTCAAAATTATGGATGCACTCTAGGTAAAATGTACGTAAAGTTTTACTTTTCATATAATTTCAGAATGTTCACGAGACTCTTGAAGCTCATATGTGGACCTCAGGTTAAGAGTTTGTATAGCTTGTTCTTTGACAGTCAGTATCACTTGAGGCCTCCCATGATCCAGCACTTGCCACTGGTCTCAACTCCCACTGCCTCTCATGTGCATTTTACACAGGGGCACCATTCTTTTGAAACTATCTTAACTCACTTCGCTGTTTCACACATCTGCACATTTGTACATGCTATTCTCCAAGTCCGCAAGTGGGCTTCTCAGAGCTCAAACATCAATTTAGAGTAGTTCTCTCTTCCCACTCGTTAAGTCACTATCTTCATTTGTGAATGCAGTCACAGGTAGTACTCGCACCTGTTAATTTGTGATGCTGTTTGTTCCCTACTGCATTAAGTGTTCAATATTGCTTTTAGAATATTTTTGCAAGAATAACTTATCTTTGGAAATAGCTTCAGTAATGAAATGTTGACTAGTGTTTCAGATTTTTATATACTAATTTTTCACTGGGAATACTTGACTAGTTCTTAAAGTAAATTTTGTTTTCTGGAAACCTACATGTGAGACTTAAAAGGTTTTTTGTACCTCTTTCTATTATAGAGCTGAAGCATTGAGTGAGCCTTTAACAAAGCCATTATGCAAAATCAAGACAACAAATATCAAGCCAAAGCCACCTCCAGCGAGAACACATTTTCCACTAGGAACTAATCCCTTCCTTGAAAAACCCCAGCCATTTATAAGTCCACAGTCATGCGATGCACAAGGACAGAGATACACTGCAGAAGAAATAGAAGTTCTAAGGTAAATTAGTTTATGATTCATTGCAGTGAACAATTTTGTCCATAATCATGGACAAATTATGTTGAACATAATCAATGCAGGTGATTTTATTCTCGTTAGGTTTGTTGAGTTGTATTCAGGTATTTGTTATGTTTTTTGCTGTTATGGGGTGACAAATTATATTGTCTTACAGTCACAATATATTTTTCATGTGTTTTAGTATGAGCATTTCTGTTAGACATAAGGTTTTCTGAAAATCCTAGCATTCTTCAAAATTGAGCACTAAAGATTGAGGGCCAAAACAGACCTATGGCAGACCCTCATAAATTATGTAATTTTGGAACCAAAGCCCTAATGGGGAAAAATGTTGCCTTAAGTTAGCAGTATAGGCCAGCTTTTTTACATTACTTTAAAGAGCTGTTTTAAAAAAAAGTATATCACAGAGACCTGGTTCCAAAGCCTAAACTTTACAGAAGTAGTTTGCCAACCCTTGATCTAGGAAACTATCTAAGTAGCCTCAGGGGCTATTAAAAATGCAAAGCAACAGTAATATGAAAATCCTTTATTGCATTCTGAGCCAGTGTGGCTGTTCTCTAGTTGGGCTCTGGAGGAGATCTGGCCTGCTTGATAGAGCTGTGCAAGTCATGTAATCACTCATTTTTAATTTCCTAAAATGGGCTGAAAGAACTTCCCTTTAGTAGCAGCCACCTGAGAACATTTTTCTGGTGAAGATTTTAATTCTAATCAGGCTCTCTTTGCCCAGAAAAATTGCATGTGAAACAATATAATACAAAGCAGGACAAAGAAGGCAGGTTTTAGAGACAGTATATTAATAACGGTCCAATAATTGCTGCTCAGTATCCATATGCTCCCACACACATTTGAAATGTTGTTCTACAACAAAATAACTTTCTGTTCAACAAAACGCTGCTGTTCTTGATGTAAGTTAAAAGTTGTCATCTTTTCAAAGTGAGGATACCAGCCCTCCCTGGAGGGTACTGGGCATCCCTGGTGGTACAAGGGGTTAAGTCGTAGCACTATGAAGCAACCCATAACCACTGCAGCATGGGGTCAATCCCCGGCCAGGGAAGTGACCCACATGGCACAGCAGACCTTCCCTAACTTGCCTGCTGCCCCCCTCAGCAGTGTATTTCAGTTGATCTGCCAGTTCTGTTCCCCACTCTGTCTCTAGTGAATCCTCTCACACACACCGCCCCCCCGCCCACTCTTCTGGCCTATACCCCAGTTCTCGTATGCATAAATAAATAAATCTTTAAAAAACAAAACGAGGATACACAAAGTAGTTGTCTTTATTACTCATTGTTATCAATCAGTCCTCAGAATCTTACTGAATATTGTTACCTAAAGGCAAAATTGTGAATTTATATTGTAACTACTGCTAAATAAAGGGAGAAGCAGAAATAGTTAATGTCTATAAATAAACATATACACAAAACAAGGAAACATGCAAAGCTTTTCTAAGACACATTTCTTTGTCAAGAGACCATTCCTGGGTACTTGTGACACTTCTTTACTGCTTGTTCCATATCCTTGGAGCCAGAACACATTTTCAGAATTGTAAATGTTGTTTTTCAAATTCCAAAAGTAAGTGTTTGCTTTCTTGGTGCATTTTTCCCACTAAGCCTTTGTGATATAGAATGTACTTTGTGTACCTGATGTCAAGCACACTTTGAATACCTCTAGTGTTGGCCCATTTAGAGACCTATGTTTTTTTGTGAAGGATAATACTCTATTGAATTGAATTAGTTATTTTCAGGTATTCAACTATTTCTGTAAAAATTTTGTCCAAATAAAGATTTAACAATGTGAGATTATGAGTTTAATTTTATTCTAGCTCCATACTTTGTTTAAATTTTAAGGAGTTTAAATAAGATGATTGATAATTAATGTAGACTTCAATATTTAATTTAGATTGTCTCTTGTGTTTTGTAGGACAACATCAAAAATAAATGGTATAGAATATGTTCCTTTCATGAATATTGACCTGAGGGAACGTTTTGCTTATCCAATGCCTTTCTGGTAAGTAAGTGCTATTGCAAATTTTATTTCCAAGATCATTTTGATTTTCAGTACTTTTTCCATACTCTGAAGCTAATTTTAATTCATAGCCTTAAAATTCAAATTTGTAATTAAAAAGTTTGATTGGAATAGAGGTATGGCTATGGGAAGGAGATTAGGCAACAATAGAGATCCTCCATTATCATTTGTCTGGAAATGGGCATCCGTGGCTCTCTTTCTGCCTGACTTATCCATAGTCTTTGGCACAAATGTCAGGACTTAGTAAATATTGGTTGAATTGCTATTGAATCACAATGGAAATGTAAGTCAGTAAGGGTATTGAATTGAACACTGGAATAGAATAACATTATCAATGTTCATTAAGCAGGTTCAACTCAAGAAAGATTGATGAAAGTGTTAGCACAGTCTTCCTTGACTGAAGTAGTTTATGTCAAGATCCTTAAAAATACTGTTTGATTTAGGACTTACAGCTTCTAGTCGTCCTAAGAAAGTAAAAATTCAGTGAAAATTTTTATAATATAAGAGGATTCATCAATGTATCTGTTACAGCAAAAATTATTGAAGCAAACTAATTACCCAATAATATGGGAGTGAATAAATAATCCACATTATTATGTTAAGTGTAAGCTACCTGTAAAAAATGATTTGGGAAAATGCTTGCAATACAGTAAATAACAAAAAAAGAAAAAAGAAAACTTTATAACAACCAAAGTTTATTTTTCTTTTTGTATATTTATAGAGAAAAATATATATCAAAGTGTTTATATAGTGGTTATATCTAGGTAGCAAAATTGAGTGATTTAACATTTTAAAATATTTTTACTTTTCAAAATTTCTGCAATGAGTATATTATCAGAAAAAAATTAAAAGTTGGCTGCTTATTATATACAGAATACATAAAAGGCTCTATTTAGAAGGAAAGCACTGCTTTTTCATTTTCTAATGTTTTCTGGAATGGACAAAAGTTAGACATCTCAAGCTAGTCAGTTTATCAGCCTAATATTTTCACTTAGGTGATCATGTAATACTAGTTACTAATTGGAATCAAAGAAATTTTTATATTTGAGAAACTATCATGTTAAAAGTACAGATTCTACAGCCAAGCTGTCATGCTTAATATCCTGTGTGCCAATTGGGAAAGATTTAAAAATTTTTTAAAAATCTGAAACAGATTTTAAAACATAATAAAATTCACCTCATAATCTTTCTGTGATGATCAAATGAGTTAATAAAATATAAAGCACTTAGAATGGCACTTATTGAAAGCACTATTTAAGAAGGGTTAACTCTTAGTAAAAGAATTCTTTTGTTATATACTAAATTATGTTACATTATTTGACTGTATATTTCAAATACTTCAAATATGTCTCTATCCCTTTGGTGTGTAGTTTCATTTAAGGAAACCTAAAGTGTTTACATATGTGGTCAGATATATGTGAACGATAGTCATCAATATTGTGATTGTGAAAATGTGCATTGGTTATTCTAGTATATTATTAAGTGGTTATATCCAAGTAGAGAGGTAAACTTGTAGTTCCAATCTTTGTAACAACTTAAGATAAATATTTTTAGTGCTCAGACTACAGACTATTTAAGAATATTATGTATAGTGTATATAAGAATAAACTTAACATGACCGTCAGGTTTTCAAGAAATTGAATAACATGGGAAGATGCTTACACTGTAATTGAATCAGTAAAGAACAATGTGCAGACTCCCTTAATTTAGGCATAGCCCTTGTCACAGTTGGGACTTTACATTTTTTGTCTGATTATTTGTTCAGTGCCTGTCCTCTATACTAGACTATTAGCTTCATAAGGACAGAGAATGTCTGTTTTAATTAAGTTGCATCCTATCATCAAAGCAAGAATCTCCAAGTCTGCCATGTTGTGGATACTCATCAAATACTTACTGAATTAATTAAGTTTGGAGAAAATTTTAGAATAAATACTAAATTAACTAGACTTAACTGGCACAACTTTTCCTTTTTTGTTTTCTATATTATTTTAGAGAAGAAAAGTGACAGTAAACATTGTAAAGGTCAAGGATAGTATGATGGACAAGAAAAACTTACATAATTTATGAATCTTTGGCTAGAAAGTTGATTTAAATAATTTTTGGTTATGTACTTTTAAATAATAACGTTTACTTCACTGAACAAAAATTGTTTTTAACACTTCAGGTTATAAAGAAAAACACTAAATTTAGAAATTTAGTAGTGACTTTTGATAGGATATTAAAATATCTTGAATTTTCTGTATTAAATTTCATCTGACAGGTTAATAATACCAAGTAACTAGATTATAGATTGAATTGGCCTTTTTTAAATCTCAAAATTTTGTCATAGCTATCTTTAAGTTACTCTAAATTCACTCTGCTCACGTTCTGTTTACAATCAGCTCATGAGGCTATATACACGTTTGAAAACATTACGTGGAACACTAGTGGTTCTATGAGATTTTTGATGATCATCAAAAATGACCTTGGCAAGTTACTTAATCACTGTAACCCTTTTCCAAAAATACTTGCTTTTAAATAGAATTATTTTGAGATTTAAAATGAATAAAGTATGTAATGTATGTAAAGTATTTTAGCATGATGCCTGCACATGGTTATTACTCAGCAATTAGCTACTCTCATTGTCAAGGGCCTGCATAAGGATCCGTACACTGCGAGGCCCTTCAGTCAGCTTCGGAAAAAACAATGAGTCAGCTTGCATGGTTGTTAATGACTTCATTTTATTGAAACTGAATTTATTAAAACCATGTAAATTAAACTTTTAAGTTATAGTAAGGTAAACGTAATTGAATTTTAAGCTACTCTTTTCAGTTATCTAGGTTGTTTTTTAATTGGTGATGAGGATCAGAAATTACTAGATTCATGGTTAAGTGTAAAGAGTCAAATTTGCCAGAATTATTTTAGAATGACGTAAGTAGGTGATAACGACCAAAAAAAATTCTCTAGGAAATTTAATTTTGGTTTTGAGTCATTTTAAGATTTATTTTATTACCTCAGTGATAGATGGGGCAAGCTGCCATTATCACCTAAACAAAAAGCTACATTTTCCAAATGGGTACGGCCAGAAGATCTCACCAACAATCCTACAATGATTTATACTGTGTCCAGTTTTAGCATAAAGCAGGTAAACATTTATTTTGTATAATTTTATATGAAAGGTTGAATTTTGAAATAATTTGAATATAAATTTTTTCTTGGATTTTTATTGTAATTCCAGGTACATGAGTATAATTGGAAAAATTACTCATTCTGCATACTTTGTCATAGACATACTGAGAGAATATACTTAATGAATAAATGTTTTGAGCAGTTACAGATTTTTATGTAGACACTGTTTATCATATCAATATGTGCAGATGAGAAGGATGAAAATCTGAATTTCATCTTTGATAAGGGATAGATATAAAAAACAAAGATAAGGCCATATGTTAAAACACTTGAGCAGTGGAAAAGCAATGTGATTTTATTGTGAACTTTAGTTATGTATTGCATTTCTTTTTTTTTTTTTTTTTTTTTTTTTTATAGAGGCATGCTTTTTATTTATTTGTTTGCTGGTTTGTTTGTTTTGTTTATACATGCACTGGGTACAGTCAGAAGCGCGGGAGGGTGAGAGAATTCACCAGAGCAGGTTGCAGAGCAGGCAGAAGGACCGAAGTACACTGCTGAGGGGAGCAGCGGGCGGCAGGAGAGGTCTGCGCGCCATGTGGGACCCTCCTCCGGAGGCCGGGGAGCAGCCGGGGATCGAACCGGCGGCGCAGAGGCCGCGGGCAGCTTCGCAACCCAGCGCTCAACCGCTGCGCCACCGGGGAGGCCCTAGTTATGTATTGCATTTCTTATAAATGCAGTCTCTTCCATATTGGTATAAAAGCAAGTATTCAGGAATACCAAAGGATTCAGGAATCTTTTGCTGTGTGTATTCATTTTAAATAATCATATTTTAATAAACCAACTTGTAAAAACCTTAATTTTTTGGTATTAAAATGTGTGATTCAATGAATATGCACTTATCATTAGTAGGAATAAATCATCCATATTTAATTATTGTAAATTAACTTCATTGAAATGCTTTAATTAGTTTTCTAGGATTTGCTTCAACAAAATGTGAGTTGGTAGTATGACTTTTCTGTTATTTTTCTATTTAAGCAACAGCCAAGATATTTAGTATAGTCAGATGGTAGGTGCAGTGCTTAAAAATTGTAATGTTGAAGTTAGCTGAATGAGTAGATGACTATATTAATAATATGATAATAAATACATTTTTCATTAATAGACAATAGTATCAGATTGTTCCTTTGTGGCGTCACTGGCTATCAGTGCAGCTTATGAACGACGATTTAATAAGAAGTTGATAACGAGGTAACAGTTTATATTGTCCCTTTAACCCTCTTAACTAAAAATTTAAAACTTAGCCCTTACCTGTGTGGTAAGTAAAGAAAGCATATCATTCAGAATATATGGTAGGCGGATGATTTTGTGACTAGGCGGATGATTGTGACTTTTGTGGTTGGCGGATGATTTGTGACTGTGGAAACATTTGTTAAAACAATCTAGTAACATGCACATGTAGTTAAAGTAACATATATGGATTTAATATGTTTTGAAATAAATGAAATTGGTCCAGGTAAAGTCATATCATATTTGTAATTGTTCTGTACTTCATGGTAGCCTCTAGCCACATGTGACTATTGAACACTTGAAATTAACTATTCTAAATGGGCTTAAGTCTAAAATACATCATATTTTAAAAACTAAGCACAAACTGTGTAAATTGGAAAATATATCAAATTTTGAAATCATACTAGTTTGGCTATGTTAGCTTAAATAAAATGTTATCAAAATTAATCTCACCTTTTAAACTAACAGCTATTGAAAAATATAAAAAAACTGCTCTTGGGTAGTACTGCTTTGGAATAAATTAATGTTACTGAAATACTTTGAACGGACTTAAAATATTTTCACTTAATAGAAAATTTATTAGCAAGTATTACTAAAAACTCAGAACTTTTCAGAAGTTTGTGAAATTTATCCCCTAGTGTATGATTTCCTGAGGTACTTTAATTCTATCAGATAAGCACTTTGATTAAAGTGAAATTCTTTTTCTAGGCATATTATAAAAAAATTCTTATGTTTATTTTTATAGAATTGCCAAGATAATACCATGTGTCTAGATAAAATATATCTTGTATATTAGTTGTGTTGAATATTAATGTTAGTAATTACATATTTATTTTTCTTAAAAAAGCATAATTTACCCTCAGAATAAGGATGGTGAGCCAGAGTACAATCCATGTGGAAAGTATATGGTAAAACTGCACCTCAATGGTGTTCCAAGAAAGGTGAGTAATGTTTCTCCTCCTCCCAGCTCCTCTCTCCTTTCCCCATTTTTGAATCTTGAGAGGAATCATTAAGAAATGTTGTTTATGTGAATATTTTAATAATTTAAAACAACTATGAACCAGAGACACACTATGGGGGGTGGGGAAAGGAGGGTTTGGGGTCAAAATAAGGAGGTTGCAATTGTATGGGGAATATAAAAATAAAATTAAAAAAAAAAGAATTTGAGTCTGTGCTACCAGTATAATCATAACAAGAATAAAGGTGGGTTTTTTTAGATAGTTTTGGAAAATTTATACAAAGTGCCAAAAAGTAACTGAGCAACTGTTTTAAGCTAGCAAATTTTGATCTCATAGCTCTTAATTATTTTTTAGATGAATAGGAAATCAAACTAAGTCTATTAGTTCATAGCAGTTTTATGTGTAGTCATAACTTGCGATACATAAATTCTGTTTTCCATTGTGAAATAGTTGTCAGAAAAGTCAAGATGCATTACAGCTTGAAAAACAGAAAAAATACATCATGATTTTTCCATCAACCCAATAAATACATAGTTCCAAATTACACTAATTTCTTTAAGGACTCCGCACAATATTATAATGACTTTGCATGCTCTAGCTCCTGTCTACACAAGGAGATTCGTGGGTCAACATCAGCCTCACCTGGAATTGCAGAAGTTTAGCCTCACTCTGGACCTGCTGAATCAGAGTCTGCATTTAAACAAGATCCTCTGGTCTTTCCAGTCTGATAAACTGAGTTTTTCTGCTTATCAGAGTACTCAAACTTTAGTGTTCACCTGGAGGGCTTATTAAAACACATTTCTGGCTTCCCCCCCCAGAGTTTCTGATTCACTAGATACTGGGGAAGGGCATGCCCCAGGCGATACTATTGTCTAAGGACACCCTTTGAGAATGACTGCTGTAACTAGCTACTTACAAATTATTGAGAATGGTTTTCTGAACTATAATTTTTAAATAACTTTGTTTAAAAGAATCTTTCAAAATACAGTTGTATAGTTCTGTTAGTATTAGGTCAAAATTATTCTTATGCTTGTTAAAAATATTTTCTTTGTTGTGATTACTCTATTATTTCAGTTTTTTTAGCCATAATGTAATTATGCCATAATTAAACATATAATGTGAGTATCTTTGCAGGTTGTGAAGTTACACTGTAGTTATACTGTTGATTACCTTAAAAGTAAGGCCTTTTTCTAATCATTTTATATCTAATATGCATCTGTAGAGTCCCTAATACATTTAGATGGTATAGCCATAACATTTAACTGGTTGGCTCAGGATTATCATCTCATGGGGAGATTAGTTTGTGAAATTGAACAAAGACATCATAGAACATTTTATAATTGGTCAGACTCTAGAAATATGGAATTGTCATTTATTTAATAGACATATGCTGTTTACTTTTCAAATATGAAAGATGGGTTTTTTAAATAGAAAAACTTTTAAGTTTTTTTACCTCCTATGGAAATTAATTTTCTTTTTCTCCAGGTGATAATTGACGACCATTTACCTGTTGATCATAAAGGAGAATTGCTCTGTTCCTATTCTAACAACAAAAGTGAATTATGGGTTTCCCTCATAGAAAAAGCATATATGAAAGTCATGGGAGGATATGATTTCCCAGGATCCAATTCAGTAAGTCACAGGATGATCCAGACACAGACTATGCTATATTATATGACTTTGTTAAATTTAAATAGTTATGAGTAAGACTTTAGTTGAAAAGCAGAGAAAACATGTTCCCAATCCCTGAAAAATTTTGATCTTTCACCTTGCTATGGGAATATTTTCTCTTGTAAGAATTTTGCGATATATAGTTTTGGTCTTCAGGAGAGCTTACAATGTAGGTATCTGCTGTTAATTTTGGACTATAGCATCAGTTAAAGTGTACCTTTTTAAGAACGTCTTCCGATCAAAAGGATGTGTCATATTGTCATTCTTTTATATATATAGATTTCTAAATTCACATTTTGTTTGTTTTCCCAATCTTAACACAACTTTTAAAATCAAGGTGTATACCAGTGTCCTTTAGTTGTACGAAGTAAACTACTGGGCTTCACCAGAAATTAGTTGATCAGAATGACTTTGGATTATGACACTCAACAGTGACCTTAAGAAAAGTATTTAGGGCCTCCCCGGTGGCGCAGCGGTTGAGCGCTGGGTTGCGAAACCGCCCACGACCTCTGTGGCACCAGTTCGATCCCCGGCTGCTCCCCGGCCACCGAAGGAGGGTCCCACATGGTGCGCAGACCTCTCCTGCCGCCCGCTGCCCCCCTCAGCAGTGTACTTCGGTCCTTCTGCCTGTTCTGCTCCCTGCTCTGACTCTGGTGAATTCTCTCACCCTTTTGCACTTCTGACTGTACCCAGTGATTGTATAAATAAATAAATAAAAATAAATCTTTAAAAAAAAAAAGAAAGAAAAGTATTTAATCTTTCTTAGCTTCTTTGCTTCCAATAATATGAGTATAATACCCACCTATTAGAGTTGTAAAGATTAAATGAAGTGATTGTGTAAATCAGACATCATACAGACATGGTTAGTTTCCCGGTCTAGTATTAGACCTCTTTCATGCTTCACAAAGGGAAAAGGTTTATGAAAAGAAACACTTACATAGTCACAGGTGGGCAGGAGAGCTGCCTCTCTTGTTCTTAAAAATGCTAGGCAAAGAATGGGTCGGTCATAGTTAAATGCAATGGGATGTCAAAATTTCCTTTTCTTAGGGTCAGTTGGTGAGTGTCATAACCCAGAGTCATTCTGATCAACTAATTTCTGGTGAAGCCCAGTGGTTTACTTCATACTACTAAAAGACAGTGGTATACACTTTGATTCTAAAGGTTAAGTTAAGATTGGGAAAACAAACAAACACTTAAATGTGAATTTAGAAATCAAAACTTTACTTATTTGCTCTGTCCTTCAAATATTTCTATATTTCTAATCCATTACCTTAATTCATCCAGTGCAATTTATAGAAAGAATGAGAATTTACATAAAACATTAGAAAAGTGACTATCATTTTGTAAGAGTTCAATATATGGTAGAAGACTATCATTAAAGTATTTTTTTCTGTTACATAGTTTGTTTTCATCATACTTAATTAGTAAAATAATTGTTGAATTCAGGAAAAGAAGCAAAGATTGTAAAGAAAAGACAAGTTTGTGTTTACATTCAAGTAGAAATTTGTAAGAAGTTTATTACTGATAGAAAACGACTTACTACCTTCTGATTCATTCCTATCAAAATCTGTATATCAGATCAGTGAGATTTACTAGCTACCCTTGGGATCTAAGAGCTTGAAAACAACACTGGTAGAATTGAAACATGTTTGTGTTACAGAATATTGATCTTCATGCACTGACGGGATGGATACCAGAAAGGATTGCCATGCATTCAGACAGCCAAACTTTCAGTAAAGATAATTCTTTCAGAATGCTTTACCAAAGGTAAATATTTTTTCTCTACTGTTTTTGTAGTTAAAGGAGCTATTGAAAAGCTTCATAAACTTATTTCAAATAGGTATTGCAAAGACTGTCATTTTCAGTTATTAGAAAAAGTGTGTTTTAAAAATATACTTCACTTTATTTACTTGCCAGCCCTCAATTACCCTTTATGATGGTTACAGTTAATCCATATTGTAGATAACCAAAATATTTGAATCTGGAATACATATCATACAGAAAATTTATTTTGTACTTCCTAAGTACTTACCTATTTGAAGGAAAGTGGGAAAAGAGAAATCTGAGGAAGGATGAAGAGGAAGGTAGCATAAACCTTAAATGAATAATCCACATGTAGGGACTGGAAAATTATATATACAGTAATACACATTCAGTAGCAGGACTAGAAAATGCAATGATTTGATAAATACAATTCTGTCACTTTTTGGGACACATTTTGGGAAGTGCACTTGGTATTGAACATCTACTTTATAAGTCACTGGATAATTTAGCATTTTCTTTCCTTCATGGATCACTTTCTACCTGAGAAGTAAATCGGGGTGGGAGAGGGATGTGATAATGTATCTGATATCCTTAGAAATGGAAATGTAACCTGTTTTAGAAAAGATTTCAAATTGTGCAAATTTTCGTACAGCTTCATTAGACTAAAGGAAATAGGGTATAATCTGAGATTGCAAATGGTTTTCAATCTCTCGATTTGTCTGTTTGGTCATTGCAGGTTTCACAAAGGGGACGTCCTTATCACTGCATCAACCGGAATGATGACTGAAGCTGAAGGAGAGAGATGGGGTCTGGTCCCCACACATGCATATGCTGTTTTGGATATTAGAGAGTTCAAGGTTTTGCCTTAAATTAGTTTTTCTTGTTTGATAATAAGACATTGCAATGATGCTAAATGATATGTTAGACTCTTGATCTGAAGTTAGACACCTTATCCATTAGGCTACATGGCCACCTCACAATATGTTACACTTGAATACTGACAAATTAAGATTTAGGTTAAGTTTTTAAATCAATCCACTTGTTGAACCACTTGACCATTGGAAATTATGAAATAGATGGGAAATATAATAATGGGAAGCACAGATATTATGACAAAGAAATGCAGTATACCTCTGTTTTTCATAAAAGTAACATTATTGAGGTGAATACACCGCTCTCAGCATTCTGGGCTATGTTGGTTTTTTGGGATCAGTCACAGTGTTAGGCTCCAGAGCATAATGAACACTCAGTAAATATTTATGAAAGGACAAGGCATAAGGGGGACCTACAACTAGAAGCATGCCCGTGGGGTTGCAGCGCTTGCCTGCCCTCAGGCCTCTCAGGCCCTTTCTTTGTGGTTGGCATTGGAATGGCTGGCTTCACTACTTCTCAGATTATTGATCAGTTATTTTTAACTGGGTCTGTTCTGTGGATAGAAAATACAAAGATTATTGAAGATTTTTTCCCTTGATGATATGGTACCTATCCTGTCTGGAGTCATTGGAAAGTATCTAGCAGTGTGTTCCAGCTTCTCCTGCTTTAACTCATACAAGTCGTGATCAATCACCAGTAAAGGGATGCCACTACCCATTAATTAGACTGATTTTCTTGCATGACACATGGAATTGTATGAATTTTAAAGGCAGTGGGGACCTACCGCAACATTTAAAAATGTAGTCTCTGGGCTGACTCTGCCAGTCACACTTTAAGTAGCAAAGGAAGGTGGTCTCATTAAATTAATGTCAAAGTAAAAAAAATAAAAACAACCTAAAACTGTTTAAGACATCATTAGAAAAAGAATACAATTTCCTCGGTGGGCTGCTTGAAATAAGATGCATACTCTTTTGAATTTACAAGCTTGTTAGGTTTTCTAAATCAATGTAATCAGTTCAGTAGACAGACCCAGTATGTTGTTTCATAAATACAGTGGAGACTTCTGAAAAAGGATCATAGTGTTGCCATTTCAAGGAGTTTACAGTCTCATGGGGAACACTATAAGTCAGAATGTTATTTGTTTTAATCTAATGTAATGTGGATTTACATTTTAGGTAGTGATTAAAAGAAGGAAATTATTGAGTTGCTAGGTACTTTTCATATGTTTCTTCAGTTCTAGAGAGACATTATCATACCCATTTTACATGAGTAAGCATGCTCAGAAAGGGAAAATGACCCACACAGACCCATCAGACTGAATACATAGTAGAACTGGAATTTGGATCCATTTCACTGGGACTCCGAAGTCCATATTCTTGAAATCAGTAGAGGAAGGAAATAAGAAGGACCCTAAACAGAGAACAGTTAAAAGGGATTAGAGGACCTTAGGCAAAGAGCAGCGAATGCCTTTGGAGGTGCAAATGAATAGGGTTCTTCATGGAATTTTGAGAGCAAAGACTAGATTAGAACCAAAGATACATAGGATGTGAGTGTTGGGAAATAATGGGGGACCAGAGTAGACTAGGCTTTGAAGGAAAGGAAATACATGATGTTCTAAGGCAGCGGTCCAATAAAACTTCCGCAGTAATGGAAATGCTTTGTGTCAGTGTTGTGCAGTGCATTAGCTGCTACCTACACATGGTCCCTGAGCTCATGTGTGGCTAGTGTGACTGAGGAACTGATTTTTACATTTATTTTTAATAATCGCATGGTTAGTGACTACCCATTTGTATAGCATAGCCATTTATAGTTTTTGATCAGATGTATGATTGGGCAAAAGTATTAATTAAGGAATATTAATTTCAGGTTGATTTGAAAGGAGAAGTATTGCTAAGTATTCAGAGTGCACCCTCTTTTAGAAGATATTATAATAGGGCCTCCCCTGGTGGTGCAGGTGGTTGAGCTCTGCCCTGTGAAGCTGTCCGCAGCCTTTGTAGCGCCAGTTCGATCCCAGCCGGCTAGCGAGAGTCTCCATATGGTGCGGCAGACCTCTCCTGTCTCTCCTGCTGCTCCCCTTAGCAGTGTATTTCGTCAGTCTGCCTGTTCTGTTCCCCGCTCTGTCTCTGGTGAATCCTCTTACCCTCCCGCACATCTGGCCTGTACCCCAGTTCTTGAATAAATGAATCAATGAATCTCTAAAAAAAAAAAAAAAGATATAATAAAAATGACGACACTATTTGCTACTTACCTCTTGTTTTGTTTCTAATAGGGGCTGCGATTTATCCAGTTGAAAAATCCTTGGAGTCATTTACGGTGGAAAGGAAGATACAGTGAGAATGATGTAAAAAACTGGACCCCAGAGTTGCAAAAATATTTAAACTTTGATCCTCGAACAGCTCAGAAAATAGACAATGGTAAATATATCTTTAATGCTATTGATCTTTGAGGAATAATATGCTAACAATGTGAAATGTACTTAACTGACAAGTCACTTTTTAGATTAACAAAGATTCAATTTTCAGGAATATTCTGGATTTCATGGGATGATCTTTGCCAGTATTATGATGTGATATATTTGAGTTGGAATCCAGGACTTTTTAAAGAATCAACATGTATTCACAGGTAACTTTTTGCAAATTTCAGAACATGCTTTATAGTAGTTTTCCCACTCATTTCATTTAAAAATGTACTGATTGAGGAAGACTAATAGTTACTTCTTGTCATACCTACAGATGGCTATCATGTAGTAGTTACTTTCTTTATGCACTTCTTGGTTGTGCCAAAAATTCATAAACAATAAAAAACCCTGATTTATTGTATTTGAAGTACAACCCTTTCTAAAATACCATTATATTTTGGCTCTGTGGAAAATTTAATTACTACCTTCTTTGTTGACTTTATCTTTTAGTACTTGGGATGCAAAGCAAGGACCTGTGAAAGATGTCTATAGCCTGGCCAACAACCCTCAGTACAAACTGGAGGTGCAGTGTCCACAGGGGGGTGCTGCAGTTTGGATTTTACTTAGTAGACACATAACTGATAAGGTACTGATAACCTCCTGTGCTTTCCCATAGAGAAATTCCTTTGACTATAATTAGGCCATTGTGAATGAAATATGCACATGGGTATGAGCCTGTTTTATTTACATAGAAGTTGAAACTAGTGTTTTTTTATTTTTATATACATAATATTTTCCTCTAAGAAAATTTATAATTTGTGATCATATATTTAAAATCTTGTTCAAAAATCATCTCTCAAGAATGTAAAGGAGTTGATGCTTTTTTGTGAGGGTTTTGGCGATCATTGTAAATGCTTTTTTTTTAATAGTTTATATATATTTTGCATCATTGTTCATTTTTGTACAATGTTTGCTTTCTCTCAGGTGTAGACCCAACAGAATTCCCACCACCAGTTCAACTGTGCATCATCACCATAGTCCCTTGTACTCTTCCTGCCCTTGTTTTGATCCCTCTCCCTCTACCTCCCCTGCAGAACATTTCTGATTTATAGTTGCCTGTTTATTTTCATTTTTTAGTTATTATTTTTCTCCCTGATCCCATTTTTGGTTCCCCTATATTCCTCCTATAAGTGAAACTATCCGACATTTTTCTTTTTCCTTCTGACTAATTTCACTGAGCATCATCCCTTCTAGCTCCATCTATGTTGCTGTGAATAGCGTTAGTTTAGCTTTTTTGATTGCTGAATGGTATTCCATTGTGTATATGTACCACATTTTCTTGATCCAGTCATCTATTTTGGGGCATTTGGGTTGTTCCAAATCTTACCTATTATAAATAATGCTGCAGTAAACACAGGGGTGTGTATATCCTTTTGAATTAATGTTTTTGTGTCTTTTGGGTAGATCCCTAGGATCTACTATTTCCATTTTTAGTAGTCTGCGGAACCTCCACACAGCTTTCCATAGTTGGACCAGTTTGCATTCCCACTAGCAGTGTAGGAGAGTTCCTTTTTCACCACATCCTCGCCAACATTTGTTGTTGCTAATTTTTTTAATGTGTGCCGTTCCCACTGGTGTAAGGTGGCATCCCATTGTGGTTTTGATTTGCATTTCTGATTATGAGGGATGTTGAACATTTTTTCACATACCTGTAGGCCGTTTGCATTTCCTCTTGGAAAAGTGTCCTTTAAGTTCTGCCCAATTTTTTGACTGGATTGTTTACTTTGTTTTTGAGTCATGTGAGTTTTTTGTAGATCTATGTGATCAGTCCCTTATCAGTTGTATGGAGTGCAAAAATTTTCTCCCTATCAGTAGGATGTCTCTCTGTTTTGGTTAATGTCTCTTTTGCTGTACAGAAGCTGTAAATGCTTTTGATTTTAAGATTAGAATATCCTGAAGGGGACTAAGAAATGTTGAGTCAAATTAGGCTTGATTCTGTGAAGGGTAACCATAATGTTAATAAGCTTAGGGTTTTATTTATTAAATATTTTATATCATACAGTCATCTATTATAATAATTGAGAAGAATGTTTTCTGTAGCACCAAGTAGCCAAAATAACGCACTTAGTATTATTCTTTTTCCCCCCACTTATCATTTTGGCCCATTTTTCTAACTACATTGGATTCTTCGTGCTTTTTCAGGATGATTTTGCAAATAATCGAGAATTTATCACAATGGTTGTATACAAGACTGATGGGAAAAAAGTTTACTACCCAGGTATGTTTATTAGACACTCAAACATTAAGATTTTACTTACATGAGTAAGTTGAAAAGTGACAAATTATATGTAGATAATATGCAGAGGTTATTATACTGATAAGACTAATATAAACTACTCAAACAGATGTTTATGTTGCTTGTGTGTTTTGTTTTTAATTTAGAAACTTCAGGAATTTGGGATTTCTACATTCTTGTACATTGCTATCAGTTTTATTTCTAAAATTTAAATCATATCTTTTTGTCTGATATAAAAGTCTATGGTTTTCCATCAATTCTTGGATGAAATTCAAATTCTTCAGCAAGCGATGTAAAGCTCTGTGTATGCTGGTCTTAACCTACCTGTTCCACTTTATCTCATGCCCCAGCTTTTCACAGTACCCTCAGTGAGGTACTGACTGCCCCTGAGCACACCACACTCTGTTGCCCCTCTTTTCAAGAATTTCTCTCCTTACCCTCCACCCACACATTCCTTTTACCCTGTTCTATTTAATGAACCTGGTTAAGTCCAGCTTATGTGCTGTTTCCTCTGTGATAATGTACCAGGCAACCCCCGCTGTGGGGTTCCACTTAACACATTAAAATCACTTTGCTTTCAGAGTGAAAAAAAAAAATTATCACTGGGCCTCCCCTGGTGGCGCAGCGGTTGAGCACTGGGCTGGGAGGCTGCCCGCAGCCTCTGCAGCGCCAGTTCGATCCCCGGCCACCAGCGAGGGTCCCAAATAAATAAATTATCACTAAGTAATGGAAACCATTAGTTCATGTTCTAGTCAAGGAGACAGATAATAAGCCAGAAAAATAACAGATAGTAATAGAGGTATGTAAAGAAATAAATATGGGCATATGCTAGTGATGGGTTCCTTGCTTTGGTTGAGAGGTCTCTTGAAGAAGGGATATAGGAATTTTGAATGATAGAATGGAATCCATCATGCAGAGAAATAGAGGGAAAAGCATCGGAAGCAGAAGAACAGCAAACACAAGGACTCTCTTAAAATGAGAAAAATAATGTTTTTTAGGAACAGAAAAGACCGGTAGGCTTGGGGAGTTGTGGGGTCACCACAAGCAGGAAGAGCTGCAAGCATAGATCACACAGGCTTCTGTGTGATTATTTTTTAGGTGTGATGGGAAGTTGTTGGAGGGTCTTCAGGAAAATGACATCATCTGATTTTTTAAAAGATTTTTTAAAACATTCTTTGAAGACTGTATTGGAGGGACCCAAAAAATGGCAGAGAAACCAATTAGAGGGTTTTGTGTATCCGAGAAATGATGGTGGTTTGAACTTAAGACTTGAGATGAGGAAGAATGGATAGATTTTAAGTTTTGTTGGCTTGTCAGGACTTGTATTTAGTTACTGTAGGGGTCAGAGATATGAGGGATAACTTTTTATTTGAGCAGTAGTAAAATGTAACATTTACTAAGATAGCTAAGAGTCCGTGGGAGCAGAGGAGGAACGATTTTCTTATAGAGCGAAATCAAAGGTTATTTTGAGCGAAATCAAAGGTTATTTTTTGGTTTGGTTACCTTTGAGATAACTATTCCATCACCAGAGGAAGATGCCAAGTGGGCAGCTGGATTTCTGAGTTAGAGTTCAGGGATAAGGTTAGGACTGTAGGTACAGATTGAAGAGTCCATGGCACAGGAATGGCATTTGAAAATAAGACTCTATGTCTGTAGATACAGATATATCAATTACCTTATGGAGAGGGTTGTAGGTACAGAGATAAATACCCAGGACCTGACCCTTGTACTCTGATATCTTAAGATTGGGGAGAAGAAAAGTTACCACAAAAGATTTGAACAGCATACCTGATGAAATAATGTTTCATATAACCCAAGGGAAGAAAATATTCCATGAGTGAGTGGATTGCACCTATTGTATTGGAGAGGCCAAGTAAGATTAGATTAGGGACTTGCATTTGGAGTCCTTGCTGTCATTGTTGACTTTGACAAGAGCAGAGAACAGAATTGGCAAGGTGAGAAAGATGCCCAGTTGGAGTGCTTTGATGGGACTAAGGTAAGGAAGCAATTGTTGACAATTTTTTCAAGAAAGTTGTACAAAGAAATGGGCAGTGATGGGGAAGATGGGATCATACATAGTTGTCTTGTTTTGTTTAATCACAGGAAAACTTGGCCTCCTTCCCCATTACAATGTGTTGAGGGCAGGCCCTTATCAGTTTCTATTTTGGCATGGGCAGAGCACATAGGTTCAGTAACAAATGACAAGTTACACTGGCCAACTTTGTTTTTCTCTTGTTGGTCATTATACAACCAAAAATGCACAAATGAGAGCTTATTCCTAGCATTAAAATGTATCATAGCTTTTGAACTTCGAATATTTTTGCTACCCTTTTTTACTTGGATTATATTTTTGAACAGCACTCCCTCTTGACATGTGGTTTTCTTTTTGTTTTGTTTTTTTTTTGCTGTGTGTGAGCCTTTTCAGACTTCTTGCCTTTTTTTTTTTCTTTCATCACAACACTGAGGCAAACAGGACAGCCCTTATTATTCCCTTTTTGAGAGACTAAACAAAGGTTAAAAGCCTTGTCCAAGATCCCAGATGTACCTGTTCTTTTTCGCTTCACACTGGATCACACCATCTCTAACCATTTACGTGTTTGAGATACTAACATGTTTAGTTTTTCTGACAGAGTACATTTTGTAAAATGTTCCAAAATGAACAATATAGCTTGATCTTAAGCGATATATTTGCACCTGACATGAATAACTTATCAGCTTCAATTGATGAGAATGTCAAAGAATTGGGCAGCCTTGTAATAATAAATGCTTGAAAGTAATCTTAATATCCAGATTATTGAATAACTAGGTGGAGGTATAAAGTATGTTATTCATACCGTGGGATCTTACACAGGCAATTTTTAAAAGAATATATAAAGAACAATATAGATCTTAACAGTTTCAATGAAAAAGATGTAAAACAACAGTCATATAATATCTCTTAAAGATATATACTCAGAAATTTCATTCATTTTAGGTTGTGTGAAAATTTGAAAAGATGCTATTCAAATTCATCAAAATGAAAGCGGTTAAGACTTAAAGACAGATGTTTAACATTAAAAGGGGACTTTTGTTTTATAAAGAACCTAGTGTAACCAAGTGTTTAGTGCTGAGTGGTGGGGAATATATTTTTATATAATTCTTTATATCTTTTAAAAATTTTCCTCAAAAGAAAAAAGCTAACCCTAACTTAAAAATCTTCCACTGGAGAGAAAAAAATGCAATGTAGGATAAATGGCAGGAATTATCTTATACCTCATTGAATGCTTTCCAAGATAATTGCTTTTATTTATTTAGAAACTGATTTTAAAGGCTTAAATTACTTAATTGTAAAGTTTTAAATTGAAATCGTAATTTAATACTGTAAACTTTAAGGCTAGAATTAAGAGGATGCCCACCTAGTTAACTAATTTTTCATGCCATGAACCACAAATCTTAAATTTAAAAAACAAAAGAAACTAAAGTCCTTTTCTATAAACCTACTTATTTGCAGCTGATCCACCACCCTATATTGATGGAATTCGAATTAACAGCCCTCATTATTTGACTAAGATAAAGCTGACCACACCTGGGACCCACACCTTTACATTAGTGGTTTCTCAGTATGAGAAACAGAACACAATCCATTACACAGTCCGGGTGAGTAAAACTATGAAGTGCCAAAACTATATAAAAGTAAAAAAAAAAAGTACATGATGTGCTCTGCTTTTAAATGGGAATATGTACAGAAAAAGCTTACTTCTGATAATTTTTTTTTTTTTAAAAAAAGATTGATTTATGCATACGAGAGCTGGGGTATAGGCCAGAGATGTGGGGTGGTGAGAGGATTCACCAGAGACAGAGTAGGGAACAGAACAGGCAGATCTACTGAGATACACTGCTGAGGGGAGCAGCGGGCGAGATGGGAGAGGTCTGCTTCGCCATGTGGGTTGCTTCCTGGCCGGTGGGGATCAAATTTGTGCTGCAGATTGCTTCATAGCACGGTGCTTAAAACCCCTTGTGCCACCAGGGAGGCCCTGAAAATTGTTCTTTATATATTTTCATGTGTTTGTGTATTAATACAGAAAATCCTTTTGAAATGTAAAGTTTTTGTATTGGAAAGCATTTTGAATGGACAGTTTCATTTTCTAAGTAAGGATATAGTTCTGGCATAATGTGGTATGTTGAATTAATAAATTCTGCTTCAGAGCAAGCAATACAAATGTTTAGTCAGCTTAATACTTTTATCACCTCAAAAAAAGACTTTGAGCTTAATGAAAGGCAATCGATTGTTTATAAACATGCTGCTCTCAGGTAGCTGGGAAGGTCGTTGTAATTTTGTTCTGCACAGGTTTGTCATCAATCAGTAAAGAAAGTCAGTTTGAATAGATTTTCAGTGATGAAAGATAGTGAGGAGCTGCTTCCATCATCATTCTTCAATGAAGAATCTTCATAGAGAGGTTATGATTTGTCTTGAGTCACACAGTGGCAGAGAAAGCCAAGACAAAATCTCTAGCCTCCCAGTTCATTAAATCTGATTTGAACACTAGGCTGTCTACAGAATGTCTTTTATATATGCCAACTAATTTTTTAATCTTCCAATAAATATTTTTAATCTAGGTATATTCGGCATGCAGCTTTACTTTCTCAAAGATTCCTTCACCATACACCTTATCAAAACAGGTAAGAGCATTTTTTTTCTGGGTCATAATTTCAGAGAATCTTAGAATTCCCTTTCTCCTTTTTTCACATTTAAAATTTCTTACAAAATAAAAATATTCTGGGACTTGACAGTAATACAAATAAATAGAAAAGTAGTCTCCAGTTAGTGTGAAATATAAGATCTTTAATGAACATTAAGTGGTTTTGTGGGAAGAAATAATTGAGAGGAAGATGTTTAGTGTAAACCTTGGCTATTAGGGAAGGTCATATGGATGAACAATGAGATTGATTTTGTAGGGGGTCTTGATGTGTAAGATTTGAGGGAATGTGATACAGGGAGGAAAACTTGACTGGAGGCTGGGAAATGGAGATAGGGCTTCATGTAGCAGAGCAGCCTGGCTGAAATGGAGGGTTGCATTGACAGACAGTGGCGAGTAAAAGACTAAGGTGGAGCCACATTGGTGGGTGGTTTGTTTTTTTTTTTAAGTTGCAAAGGAATTTGTCTTTCAGGTTGATTTGAAGGATGTGAATTTATTATTACGAAAACATTTTTTACTAGATTAATGGAAAATGGAGTGGTCAGAGTGCTGGAGGATGTGGAAATTTTCAAGAGACCCACAAAAATAATCCCATCTACCAATTCCATGTAGAAAAGACTGGGCCATTACTGATTGAGCTGAGAGGACCAAGGTTTGTGCTAAGTAACATTTTAAAATTAATACTGTTGTATTAAAAATGAGCTTTTGGGGACAGAGTAGAGTTATAAAACAAATCTATGTGTATGTGGTCACTTGATTTATAATAAGATGGCATTGGAAAGAAGGGAAAAGACAGTCTGTGCAGTTAAACAGTCTCCTGGCTTACATCAAAAAATCAATTCCAGATCATTCCAGGTGGATTACTAGTACAGGAGGATAGAGTAATAACTTCAGGGTAAGAAAAGAGTTCTTAGGGGACAAAGAGCACACGAAAAAAGCAAAGCATCTGTAGTTTTTGACAAGAGAATCCACATGACCACAATAAGAGGCAAAAACTAGAAACAACCTAAATTTTCATCAGTGTCACTTCAAGATTATAAAATTAGGAGTCTTAGATAATAAAATACAGCTTCCTTGATAATTCTTAAAAACAATGCTGAGCAACAAAAGCCACACACAACAGAGTATGTATTATGTGATTCACTTTGTATGAAGTCAAAACAGGAAAGGCTAAACTTTTTAAGAATGTGCATTTAAGTAGTCACACTATATACAAAGCGAGAACGTGATTACCATGAAAGTTAGTATTAAGGGATGTCAGCGGTACTGAGGTGGTTTCGTTGATCTGATTAGTGGTAACCCAGGTAGTTGGTCATTTTACAGATGATTTAAGCTATATATTTTATGTACACAATTTCTAAATAAAATTAGAATTTTTCCTGATTTTCCCTGCCTTATAAAAAATAATCCTGTAGATATGAATAAGCTATTTTTCTAGAACGTCTTTCTAAAAACCGTTACCAGTTTGAGAAATAAGGTAATTGCTCCTTCGTATTTAATTTCTAGATAGAACATATTAAAATGTTGACCTCTGCTTTATTGCCTATTCAAATAGTCTTTTGCCCATTTTTTTAATGGAATTGTCATCTTTTTCTTAATTATGAACAGGAACAAGGGTATGTATGGATAGATAACTCCACATATGTATATTTTCCCCAGGTTGTCAATATTTTTCACATAGGAAAACATTTTTCACTTTAAAGTAATCAAAATCTGTCTTTTCTATTTTATTGTATTTTGCTGTGGGCAAGAAATCTCACCAATTATCAAATAAGTCTTCATATATTCTTCTGAGTTCCTTTTTTTTTTTTAATATTCTGATTCTGTATTTGGTGTGAAATACAATTTAACATTTCTATGTTTTTGTCATATCATCCAAAAAAATACTTCCCCTACTGATTTGGAATGCATGTCTGTTACGTGCTAATTATTTTGTAAATTTAGATTTTATTTCAGGGCTTTCTCTTCTGTATCACTTTTCTACCTAATACAATGAAATTATCATTTGAATTTAATATTAACTTCTAACAATTATCTTCAATTTTAAGATGTAAATATATTTACAAATTGTATAATGAATATTATGCTTATGCTTTAGAGAACTATTTCCTCCTTTATAAAGCATATACTTAGTTTAATAGTACATCTGCACTGTCATATTTATTTGAGACTACTAAACAACAGTAATTCTATTCCCTTTTTATTGCTAGGCAATACAGTGTTGGATTTGAGATTGTAACAGTTTCCATGGTAGGCGATCCTGGTCCCCATGGTTTTCAGAGGAAATCTAGTGGTGACTATAGGTAATGCTGGCATTTTGATTGTATCTAATTTATACTTTACTTTTTATGGCAACCTTCTGTAAACTCTGTTCTAATTTTCCCTGAATACAGGTGTGGGTTTTGCTACCTGGAATTAGAAAATATACCTGCTGGGATCTACAATATCATTCCCAGTACATTTTTGCCTAAACAAGAAGGACCTTTTTTCTTGGACTTTAATAGTGTTATCCCCATCAAGACAACACAGCTTCAGTGATGGAGAAATCTCAGTAATTACTGGATTTTACCCTTACCAAACATCCATGCTTCAGATGAAGTCACAGATTATCAAGACCCTACATACAACAATCAAGAGAAATCTCTGAAAACATTACAGTGGAATCTGGTAATCAAATCAGGGTGTTTAGTGAGAATTTTATAGTCAACTAGAATTACCTAAGTCACCCAGAAGTACAATTTACATGGTTTTGTGTATATATGGAGTTGCCTTGCATTGTCTGAAATATTTGACTCAGATTAAATATTTGACTCGGTTAGCATTGTGAGATGTTTTGCTAAGAGGGAACTGAGACCAGATAAAGAAAAGGAGGGACATACAGACTCATTGAGTGAACGGTAGGCTCATGTAATACTGAAATATCTTCATTATGTTTGTCTTTCTGGCAGAGCATGTTGTAAGTTAAACCTGCTTGTGTTGTGACTGTACATCTTGGGCAGCTAATTACCAAATGAATCATGTCTCCATTACATTTTCATTCTGCGTTACTTATGACTTTAAATGTTTATTGTTACCCAGATGTTATGAAAGAATAAGCTTTAAGAAATGATTAACTTAGCATGAAGATGCTCCTGGTCAAGAATGAGAGTTTTGCAAGGAAGATACCTTCTTCCATTGACCATAATATAAAGAGAACAGATATATTCACTATTGCATTTTTTATCAGGTTGATGAAAATAGTAATCAGATATTGAAGACTCTACAAACTAAATTGTAATGTCTTTTGAGTTGCTCTACAGTTCAGTGCTTTTATAGAAACAGCACTCTAAATTCAGAAATGGAATTGAGAACTTATTATATGGTAATTGGGATTGTATTCAGAAAATATACCAAATTTACTGTCATGTGAATTCCCAGTTTACATCAAAACCCCTCAGAATAGAATTATGCTCAAGATTTTAAAGATTTAAAAATAAGGGGAATTTTTCATTGTCTCTACTTTATAATTATTTTGTATTTCTACTACCTTTAATTGAAATAAAATGTTTATACTTACAGAAGCTTTATAATTCAACCTGGAGAAACTGGAAATTGACTTATTAAAGGACTTCATTTAGTGCGTTCCATGTAAAAAAAAAAAAAAGAACTCATTTGTATTAAAATATGCTTCAACAAAAAATTGCGTTCTTTTCCGGTCAGCATAGTGAGATTTCATAATGAAATTTCACTTTAGTGCATTATTTTAGGCAAAATAACTTTCTTTGGCTTTTTAGGAAAAAAATCCAAAGAATAAGTGGTACATACATGATTTGAAGCTTGTAACGAAAGACCTTGTACAAGATGCAAACTGAAATGTAAGCCCAATCCTTGCCATCAAAAATCTAATGGAAGGGTAGTTTGGCATACACAAATCCGTTTATGTAATTCATACCAACAAAAAGTTAAATCATATCAGTAGATGAAGAGAAAACATTTGACAAGATTCAATATCCATATATGATAAAAGCTCAAAGGCTACCTGTGGCCCACAGCTAACATACTTACTGGCAGAAAACTATTTCCTCTAAGATCAGGTATAAGACAAGGATATCCACTTATATCTACTACTATTCATCATTGGAAATCTATAGAGCAATTAGGCAAGAGAAGGAAATCCAAATTGGAAAAGTGAAACTATCACTGCAGACGATGTAATATACATGCAAAACCCTGGTGACTCTACAAAATGGAAATCAGTGAAGCAGCAGGCTGTCCTATCAGTGTACAAACGTCTATTCCATTTCTACATGCAAACAATAACTAGAAAAAAATCAATCCCATTTAGTCACATCTAAAATAATTAAGTACCAAGGAATAACCTTAAAGGAGGTGAAAAGACCTGTCAACAAAAATTATACATGTTAAGACATAGAAGACACAAGTAGATAGATTTAGTCCATCCTCCTGGCCATCTTGCCCAAAGAAACAAATTCATTCACTCCCTATCAAAATTTCTATGCATTCTTCAGAGGAAATAGAGCAAACATTACTGAAATTTGTATGGATCCATGAAAGAAAAATAGCCAAAGCAATCCTGACCAAAAAATTGAAATCTTAACACTCTCAGACTTCAAACTATACTACAAAGGTGTAATCACAACAGTGTTATTGTAATAAAAAGTCACACAAATTAATGGAATAGAATTAAGAGTCCAGAAATAAACCTCACTATGTGTACAGTTAACTTACAGCAAAAAGCCAAGAGTATACAATGGAGAAAGGAAAGTATAAAAGGTACTAGGAAAACTGGATACTATCTCACGCTGTACACAAATATTAATTCGAAATGAATTAAATACTTTAAGACCTGCAATCATAAAAGAAAAACGTAAAACACTGCTACAGTGATGTTCTGGGTAACTCGACTACAATGGCAAGAGAAATTAAAAAAATAAATGGGACTATCAAACTAAAAGGCTTTTCACCGTGAGAGAAACCGTCATTAAAATGAAGACACACCGAGTGGGAGAAGATATTTGCACATCATACATTAAGATGAACAAAAGTCTGTACAACTAAACACCAATCCCAACAAAAGAGCTAAATAGACACTTGTCTAAAGAGATAGCTGGCCAGCAGGCACGTGAAGAAAATGTCATTAAAAGGTCATTACCACCTTAACCTGTGAGCCGTGCCCACTGGCCAGAAATGAGTGTTGATGAGGGGTAGAGAAAAAGGAACTCACTCTCATTCTGTTGGGAATGTAGACTGGTCCAGCCCCATGGAAATCAGAATGGAGGTTTCTCAAAATATTAAAAATAGATACACCACATGATCCAGCAATTCCTCTCCTAGGTCTACAAAGAAAGCACAAAGATACACTTTTTTTGTGTTCATTGCAGTGCGGTTTGTAACAGTCAAGCTGTGGAAACAAGCTAAGTGCCCACAGATGAGCGAATAAAGAGGATGCATTTAATAAACAGTGGACTGCTACTCCACTATGAAACAAAAACGATAAAATCTTGCTATTTGTGACAACGTGAATGGAACTGGAGGGGATCATGCTAATAAGTCACATATACACAGTTTGATTCTCAATGACACATGCACATTAGAATCACCTGGTGAGTTTTTAAAGTCCAATGCCCAATGCCCCAAATCAATTAAATTAATCTCAGGATAAAACCAGAATGCAGACGCTCACGTTTCCTAAGAGATTGCAATGTGCAGGAGAGGTTGGGCCCCTCCCCTCCAGCATAAACACCTTTTTGAGCCCTGGCCCCGTTTGCTCAGCTTTGGTAGCAGCAACAGTGGAGTCCCGGTTCCAATCTCGGTACCTGGGCCTTCAGTGATCAGGATCCGGGACTAACTGACAAGAACAGACCACTGCATCCTTGCTTTTCCTCAGCAGAACACAGAGGATTGAAGTCACAGAAAGTGACACGTTTTCTTAAGCCATTTTTATTACACTCAAGGTATTAAGACAAGTACAAAAAGAACCTTGTCAGTAGGATAGTTACCAGTCATTAAAAAAGGAGACAACACTACAGTATGAAGAGATTTACAAATGACTAAAATAGACAAGCTGTGACAGACAAGACACGCACATGGGTTTTTTTATCTTTTCAAAATGTTTTCTTAACCAAAAGAGACAAATAAAATACAGTGCTCTAAATATGTGTAACCATGAAAACACTTAAAGAAAAGCAGTCTTAACACTATTATAAGCCTAGCAGATTCCATTGCTTCTATTTAACAGCCTTTGCCAACACATGCCTACTCTTTCCTAGCTTTAAGGAACAACTTCCTCTAAGAAATACTAATGCAGCATAACCCTTAAATAATGTCTTTTATTTTTAAAATTACAACCTACAGAGAAATTAACACCATGTCAATCTAGAGAGAACAGTGGCAACCATTCTTCACATGCACTTCTCTTAGAATAAGTCCCCTTGGCTGGTAGAACAAGGTTTATGCTATAGAACCTTCTCTCCACAGCCCCAAGTCCCCCTCTATGATCTAGCCCTGCTACCCTGCCCCCCACCCCCACACTGGCATTCACCTTTCCCACCCCAAAAAGTGCAGTTCATGGTAGGTAACCTTTGTAGAAAATGGTTTTAGTCAGTATCCCAGTATACACACCTCTTTTTAATTTTTTTTTTAGAAGCTCCTCTGAACACCAGAGATGACGAAAAGGAACTGTGTTCTTGGAGTTTTTAAGCCTTCGCTGCACCAAAAAGGGTGTTCTGAATACTTGAGTTTTGTCTTGTGGTTTTGTTTTTGTTTTTTATTTAGATCCCTTAGGATATAAGGGCGGGAACACCCCTCTTTTCCCAAACTGAGGGGGCGAGAAGGGGAAGAGAAGCAAGCCATTGGCTGCCGTCTGGCTCAGCTTCCCAGCCCCTGTCCCGGCTCAGGTTCTTTCACCAGAACTAGTTATTGCTTCCATGTCACAGGTCTAGGTAACACTCCACACAGGGTGTGAGCCTGGTCCCACTCCATCTGCAACAGCTCCTCTGCTCTGAAAAACACCAGCCCAAGAGCGCTTACCCAGAAGAAAATTCTTCAACACTCAAGGTCACTGAAACATCATTAGTGCAGTTGAGAGGAAACGCTTACGATTTGGCATATAGTAAATGATTATTGGCACAATGTTCCCCAGACAGTTTTATGTATAAATAGTGATATGCACTCGGGCAGGGCCTTGGCTGCATCAGCCGATCTGCACCATTTTTATGTCAGCAGTGATCCCATCTCTTCCCTTCGAGCACTGCAGGGACAGCTGCTTCATCCTGTTCTCCAAGGCCTGGCCCTCCGGGGAGGCGCTGTTCTGGCTCTTCCCACCATCGCTGCTGCTGCTGTTGAGGACCCGGTTGTTGTTGGCTTTGTCACTCCTTTTATTCTCTGCCCCTTCTGCCCTGTCTCCTGTAGAAACGTAAAGCGTATTAAGTGAGCACTGACGTTTCCAACAGTCACCGGGCCGAAGCCAGTCCTCCAGCTCAGCCCTCTGGATCTCCCAGCTTTGCCCAACCATGCAGATCACAGGTCAGATTGCATCGGGTAGCTGCCTCCTGGTTTTATCCCTCGAGGCCTTTTATATCCTTGTCTTATTCATTTGATAGCTGCAAAACCGCCCTCCCCAAGCACTCGGTTAGCGGACTCCCGTGATGGGACACAGCCCCAGCTCAGCTTTAAGGACACTGGTCAGGAGCGGAGCCAGAAGCCAACAGAACAGCAGCATCTTGTTCAGAGGCCCAGAAGCCAGCATGGGCAAAAGGTCTAGAACGGCACAGACTCAGCCACAAAGGCAGTGTGAGTCACTGGGCATGGCGGAGGGGGCTGCACTCACCTCGTTCTACCTCACACTCCGGGGAGGAGGCCCCACTGCATTCACTGCGAGGGCCCAACACCGGAAACATCATCCCAAACTCTGACAGGGACACGGGGCTGGGCAGGTCCAGGCTGCCAGGCCTGGCGACGGCAGGGAACTGGTCAGGTATCTCAGACGGGCTCATGGGTCCCGAACTAAAGCTGGACACGGACTGGGTTTCCGAGTCATCTTCAGATACAAAGTTGCTGCAGTTGTCATCTTCAAAAGCCTCGGAGGCCACTAGGATGAGAGAAAACACCAGTCAGACCGCAACTGCCTTCTTTACACCTCCAGAAGGTTCCCTGCTGGAGGGCACAGACACAGCTCGGGGATCGCTGAATCCCTGCTGCTGTGGGCGCCTAGTGGAGGGGGTGTGAGCCTCACGGGCCTGCGTGACCAGATTGGAAGCAGCTTGAACGGAAGAAGCAGGCGGGACCTGTGGAGACGCCGCGTCCGTACAATAGCTTTCTGGCCCTGCCCTGGAAGTCCGTGTTTCTAGAAACATGCCCAACAGTGGAAGACACGCTCAGCCACAGATGGGGGCTTCTCTCCACCCCAGGCCCAGCGGCCCACACACGCACAGAGAGAGCCGGGCTGGCCCTCTGTAGTGCGTCCCAACGAGCCAGCCAGGCTTTAGGGCTTGCTTCTTCCTCAGCACAAGCAGAAGCTACCGCAAGAAAGGGCCCTGCTCATCGCTGGGACCTCTGCCATCCTGGGTAGCGCAGCGCCCTGTCTCCTAAGAGGCACAAGGAGGCAGAGTGGATGCGGGCACAGGAGGTGGAAGGTGAGTAAGAGCAAAACTGTAACCCCCAAATTAAAAACTACACGCTCTGAGCCTACCTAGATCACTGTGTGCTGCAAAAGAACAAAGTCCCTCACAGTGTTCTCCAGCTCGTTTATTTTGGGGAACCACCGAGGCGCGGAGACCTGTCATCCCCGTGGTATGAAAGCGGCTTCAGCCTTGAGCTGTTGCCCCTCAGCCTGCACGCAGTCCTGCTGCTGCTCTGCTCTGCTCTTTCCAGTGCCACTCCCCTTTCCGCCTCCCTCATCTTCGAAAACAGCCCTGCAGAGCCCAGACGGGAGGCCCCAAAATGAGAAGGCTGTAACATGGCGACAGAAAAGGGACCCGAATTCAAACCCCAGCTCCACCCCGTGGCACGGAGCCTCGGGCCAGGTGGCCTGACCCGTTGTTGCTTCGCGGGGCTCTCGATCTGGGCCCACGAGACGACACCCACTCAAGCCCCTCACACATCTGGGCTGCCGAGTGGTTGTTCTCCTTTGCCCCGGGCCTGCCACTGAGACATCTGTCGACTGCAGACTCCTGGGGAAGGAGCCCAGGGAAAATGCCAACAGGGATTACCCCACAGAAAAGGCAAAGAAAGGAAGGCGTGCGGGGTCTTCTTGCTTGGCATGAAGGGAGCACGTCAGACTTCTAGCGGGCTGGGGTAAGGGAGAGATTGGGGGAGAGGCCATGCGTGATCAGACATCAGTGAGAACCGCCACTCGAGTTGTTACGGCGTAGCAGGGTGATGTCACTTAACTCTCAGTGTCACCCACAGTGGATAGTAGGTGCCAGCCCGCTCCCCATTTTCCAGGGGAAGGAGTGAAGCTATAACGTCACGCCCTTGCCTACTCCATGACTATCACGATGGAAGGCCAGGATGTGGGTCCAGTCGGCGTCCAAAGTCCTGTTAGAAAATCCCTTTCTTCTAGGACGTCCAGAGCCTCGACTGTTCCCACACACTTTGAATGTCAGAGAGAGGGGTGAGAGTATATCATGTTACCTGACCACGGAATCCAGACCCTGGAGACCACTGAGGAGCTTCCTGATTGGCACAAGCATCCCACAAAATGTGGGGCGCCGCCAGAAGTAGCCCTCAGGCCTACCCGACTCAGGCCCGCCGGTGTGGGCCAGACAGTCCTGGAGGCAGATCACACCAGCTGTCACCTCCCCTCTTGCTCACGAGCCCCCGACTCACCGGAGACGGCATCTGGCTCGGGTTTGCTCCCCGACAGGTCCTCCACGGACGTGCTGCTGCCCTCGGCCCCGACACCGCAGCCCCGCGGCCCCATGGCGCTGGAGCGCCGCCGCTCGTGGATCTCGTCCGAGATCATCTCCAGGTTCTTCAGGGCCGTCTTGTACTCGCCTTTCGCCAGGGCCAGTTTGGTCTGCAGATCGTCCACGGTCTTCTTTAGTAGCTGCTCAAGAGAAGGGGAGGCTCGTCAGGGAAGGCCGCCCTACCGCCTGGCAGAGCTTCTGGTCACGCGCGCTTCACGCCATCGCCCCACACACTTCCCCAGCCCACTCGCGGTCACCTCCCTGCCCGTGCTTCGGAGGGCAAAGCAGCCATCACCACCCCAGTCCCCTGTGGGCAAGACACGCAAGCTCTGACACCCGGAACTGCCCGCTGGGAAGCAACACGAGTGTCAGACTCACAGAAGGCTCCCATTTTAGCCTCAGGTCCCCCCCAGACTGCAGTTCTCAAAGGTGAGCCTGCATCGGCTTGTTACAGCGTGCGGGCTGGGCTCTCCCCCAGGCTTCCTGGCTCAGCAGGTCTGGAGGCGCCAAGAACCTGCATGTCTAACAGGCTCCCTGTGACACTGAGCTGCTGGTCCTGGGAGTGTCCCGAGCACCACCGGCCACTACTCGACAGGACGGGACAGGTTCCGAGGGAGTCGGAGCTCGCTGAGACCCACCCAGGGTTCCTGTGAGGCCTGAGCACTCAGCAAGGAATATGTCTTTCTCCCCTCTGCCCCATGGCAGCACGAGGCCACTGGGAAGTCTGCCACACAGATAAGTGGGGCCGAGTGCAAAAAGAATCCCACCAAAAAGGCTACACGTACCTCCAGCTGCACGTAGTACTTTGCCTTGAGTTCAAAATAAGGCCTGTGGAAGACAGGAAGAAAAACCACATGAGGAACATAACACCGCGACCCGGGGTGTAGAGGAGACAGTCGCTGCAGCTGGCCAGCTCAGCCTTCCAGCTCAGTCAGCCCTGACACGGCTGTGAGATGGGGCCGGATGGGTACGGACACCAGTCAGGGCCCCCAGCTTCCCTCAGGGCCCACGACAGAGGCGCCTCTCAAGCGATGGGAATCCCATACCTAAACACAGCCAGGAGCCCCTGTACCCCAGTCCACCTTCTCCCCAAGGATGAGGAGCAGACACACCAGAGAAGTTGCCTCAAACTGTTCACCTCTGTGAAGCTCCAGGTCTGCCTGTGGCTGCTGGGGCTAGGCCATCCCAAGTCATCTCTTTTGCTGGGAAGTCCAGCAAGTATGAGTGAAAAGCAGGGGGTCTGCCCCCAAGATCATTACTGAATAAAAATACACAGCAGTGGCAGCGAGATGACCTTGGGAGAGACTGCCATCTAAACCAGCTTGCAGCGTTTCCTCAGCTTCTGGTCCACAGATGACGCGTGTGTGTGTGTACATAGCTCGCTCCTGTTAAGCTAACAGGTAAACTGAGGGACTGTTAAGCACAGTCAAGGGCACAAACAAGTTCCCCAAAGCCCTGCCTCAGGTCCCACCCAATGGCTACACACAGTTTGCTCTTGAAACCCCTTTTTCTGTCTCTCCCAGGTCAGTTCCATCTGGACACCCCTGCCCACCTACTGCCTCTGGAGGGTCTATAAGCCTTGGGGACCTTGAGATGGGACCCTAAATACCTGGTATGAAAGGGTAAGAAGAGGAGGCAGAGGACACCACAGCACCCAGGGCCGCACGCCCGGACTCACTTGGACTTGTTGATGGCGCGCTTGAGCTTCTTCTCCAGCTGCCGCATGCGGCCCATGGCGGCGGTGTACCGGGCTGCTGTCTCCTTGTGCACCAGCTCGCTCCTCGTCTTGGTCTGCTCCGCCTCCATGACCTTCAAGCGACAGCAGAGGTCAGCAGGGCCAAGTCCAGAACAGTCCCTTGTTGGGGCGTGACTCAAGACATTTAAAAAATACTCTGAGGGGCCTCCCTGGTGGCGCAGCGGTTGAGCGCTGGGTTGCAAAGCTGCCCGCAGCCTCTGCAGCGCCGGTTCGATCCCCGGCTGCTCCCCGGCCACCGGAGGAGGGTCCCACATGGCGCGCAGACCTCTCCTGCCGCCCGCTGCTCCCCTCAGCAGTGTACTTCGGTCCTTCTGCCTGCTCTGCTCCCCGCTCTGGCTCTGGTGAATTCTCTCTCACCCTCCCGCGCTTCTGACTGTACCCAGTGCTTGTACAAATAATTAAAAAACAAATAAATAAATAAATAAATAAATAATACTCTGAGGATACTAGTGAGCACTGGGATTAAACTAACTGCAAGCACAGTAGGATTGCTTTTCCCTACTTAGCTCGGAAAAATCTTGTCAGATGAGATTAAGGAGCCAAATTGGCTAAAACAAGGAAAAACACAATCAAAGGAAAACGCGTCGCGTCCACCAGGGGGCACGTGTCCACCAGGGGGCAGAGGCCTGGGGCCCACACAACCCGGCCTTCCCAGTTTGGGCGGAGGGGAACTGGGAGTCATCTGTGTCAAGCTTTCTATTTCAGGAAGCACAAGGTCGTCCTTAATTGTCAGATCCCGCAGGACTGGAGCCAGTGACAGGGGACACTGAGGGGGCAGAGCTGCTGGAGGCTCTTCTAGTCCAGCCCCACGGGCAGCCTCTCAAAAGGAGCCACCACGAGCAGGTTCAAACTCTATCCCCACTCCCTCATCCCTCCATCCAGGCCTTATGGGGAGCTCACTCCCCACCCCCGACCCGAAGGAGGGGCAGGCATCCACAACACTCTGCTTGAGCCGTCCTCCTAGGAAACGCAGTGGAGTTAGTGAGGGGGAACGGCCTAGCCGAGCCAAGCAGCTATCCCTTCACTTCTGATTCCGAGCAGAGGACAGAGGGCAGCAAAGGGGAGCTGGTCAGGAGCCAACCAAGGTCAAGGATCACAAGAGCGCACCTCTTGCTCACATGCCTCCCTCTCCCACCCCCAGCCCTGTCTCATCAGAAGGCCAGGCCCCTGTGCCTGCAGATTCTGACCTCATCTCCAAAGCCCCTGCCCTCCCACCAGTCCGGCCCAGCATGGTTTGGGCCGTTCACAAGATCTTCCACCTGGGATTCGAAGTCCAGCCAGGCCCAGGACTCAGAGGATGGGCCCTGCAAACAACCCAGCCCTACTGGGGAGCCCCATCCACAGGCAAGACCTTCAGAGAGGATCCGAACCACACAGACCTCAAGGGACACTGGTAAGGAGCGGCCCTACGTCCATCGCGGAAGACGGTGTCCCTGAGCCTGGCTTAGCACGCAGCCCAGCAGAGCCCACCGGGAGGACAGCCCACAGGCTGTCCTGGGAGTCTGCTTTCTGCTTGGGGAAACTGCACACAGAACTCACCCGAACCAGAGGGGAGCTGGGTCAGATAGACAAGGGAGGTGTGAAGGCCCTCCCGTCCACAGTGCCGAGCACCCCCAGACCAGACGCTCACACATGACAGATCCTTGCAGGCAGACGCACGCACACGCCCCACCGCACACTCGGCCGTGACTCATACCCTCTGGGTGGCGTGATTCAGCATCTCCTGCCAGGCCGAGTCGAACTGCCGCTTGTCATCCTCCAGCAGCCGCTGCTCGGCCAGAGAGATGGTCTCCTTGGCGGCCCGGAGCACCTCCGTGGCCCGCTGGAAGTCCTGCGTGGCTTTCTGAGCTTCCAGCTGAGCCTGCGCGAGAAAGAAGCCCCCGTGAGATCTCAGGAGAAGGCGGGGCTCCCGCGACCCATTCACCCACCAAGAGGTGCGTGTCCAGAGGTCCAGGACGAGGCCCGTCCATCTCTGTCAACCCACTTTGGACCAGGCCTGGGAGCAGGGGGTCCTGGTTAGGGCAGGACGGGGAAGGGGCACTGGATAGGTGATTTGCACGATCCACATCTGCAAGCCAGCTCTTGGTCAGAGTCTGCAGACCGGCCCGTCTCCTGACAGGCGACGCTTCTGTTCCCTGATGATGCCAAGGAGGCTACCGTGGTCCTCAGCACTGTCCTTGTCCAGATCCATAGCTCAATTTATGGCAGGTTACCACCAGGAAGGCCCCCCATGCCCTCCATAGGTGGGGCCGTGGTTCTCAGAGGCCAGACTGTCCTCAGACTCAAAGCTGGCGAGCAGCAGGGATGGGACTGGACTCCCAGTCCTGGAGTCCTCGTCTGGGCTGTCACGCTGCCAGGCAGGCCTGGACTCACACTCGCCGACACCAGCAGCGGGTGAAGGCCCATCACACACAGTCCTGTGCTCAAGGAACCTCAAGGGGCGAATCACCAGCAGCTGAGGCTACATGAGTCCAGTGCCAGGCGCGTGTCGGAGTGGGCATCAGAAATGGCATCTGCCCAAATTGAGTGGAAACACCCCAGCTTTAAAGACATACCGCATGTAAGAATGCTACCTATCTCCCTAATAATTGTTATGCCATTACATGATGAAATGATATTCTGGGTACACTGGATTAAATAAAATATATTTTAAAATTAATTTCACCAAAAAAAAATTAATTTTGCCTTTTTTTCTACCATGACTGCTAGAAAACTTACAATTACATCACACATTTTTTGTGGGTAGCAGATATGCCTCTCCCAAAAGTGGGCCACGTGACTGCATCAAAAAACAGCCATAAAGCCTCTGGCCCCCACTCCTGGCAGGTCTGACTTTGACACCCCACCTCAGCACAGGCTCGCCACTGCCAGATGCGGGTGCAGCAGCACCCTCCCCCCGCCATCCATGGCTGACCAGATCCCCACGTCAGTTATAGAAGCCAGGGGGATGCCATGGGGCAGCCCCTGGGATGCACAGGCCCCAGCCACCTCACATGACTTAGAGGAAGTCTTCAGAAACCACAGGCGAGGACTTTTCAAAGGCAGTTAAGGGGACACAGCAGGCCCAGGCCCAGGCGCCTGGTGACCCCTGGGGCCACTGTGTCCTTAGTGAACATGAGCTGTGTGTAGGCCAGGCTGACCCTCGGGCCACGACGCCCTGGGCAGGGAGGGGAAGCGGGCACAGGTGGACTCTCAGATGCCTGTCACACAGAGCGAGACATGGGGATGTGAGAATTACCTCCTTGCCTCTCACAGCCAACATCACATGCGCGACTGGAAAGAATTCCTCCCCCGAGCAGGAGTTGTGAAAAATGTCCCAGTTTCCTTTCTGAGCATCTGAGAGAGATCAAAACCTTTGAGAGAAGGTTCTAAAACACTGCTAGCCTCAGGGAGGGAGGGGCGTCCAGGGCGGACATCAAGGTGGCCAACGGGCAGGGCATCCCTTCTGGCTCGGTTCAAGCTCTAATTTTCTGCCTGTTTCTGGCGATCCTCAGTGTCAGCAGTTGCCAGAGAGACAGAGTCTTTCAGTTCTGCAAAATTCTTACCTTCTATACCCCTTTCAACTACTGAGGTTAACTTGAAGAGAGGCCCGAGATGGGTACCAGGCATGTTGACGCCATTTTGTCCCTGAGAACATTTGGGTACAAACACTTTAATTAGAATTATCCCAGAACAGACACATCTTCATTTGAAAGCATAGAGAGAATTCCATTAAGCCCATTTGGTTCCTTATTTTTCATATCCCGGGTTCCTAAAATTTTTATCTTTATTTAATCAAAATTATTTCCATTAAAGGTAGTTCTTTTCTATTTCAAATCAAAAGCTTTGAGCCATTGCACCATTTCCTCCACATCAAATCTTTCTAATTAAGGTTTGTGCCATGAAGTTTCTCATTATTTCTATCAAATTCTAGTTTCCTGGTTCAATTTTTTCACAGATCTAAAAATGTGTGCAACATTTGAACATCAATTTTTACTCAGGTCCAAATGTTACCATGTACAGTTCAGTCATTAGCAATCAACATTAAACTGCGTAATACACAATAGACTTAATGATACATATCATAATAAATCAAAGATTCACTGTGGGTATTTATGAGCAATAGAAAACCTTGCACGGTCTTTAGAGGTGAGCACAGTTGCTCAGACGGCGCACAAGCTCTTCAATACATCAGTGTCAGCAGAGCCTCCAGGGACTAGGAAAGCCAGGGTTAAACAGAAAACGCTCTGAGGTTAAAGATGAGCTGTTTAAAAATAAAATTTAAAAAGCCCTTCTCTGCTTCAAATAATATAGCCAGAACAAAACGGTTAGCCGAGAGTAAGACTGTCGTGGGTACATGTTGTAGAAACAGGCTGACGAGCATTTAGAGCTCATTATACTAGGCTCTCTGCTCTGTATGTATTTGAAAGTTTCTGTAATAAAAAGGAAAAGCAGGGGCCTCCTGGGTGGCTCAGGCGGTTGAGTGCTGCACTGTGAAGCTGTCTGCAGCCTCTGCAGCGCGGGTTCGATCCAGGCAGGCTGGGGACAAACCCACATGGAGCAGCAGACCCCTCCTGTCTCGCCCGCTGCTCCCCTCAGCAGTGTATTTCAGTTAATTCACCTGTTCTGTTCCCCACTCTGTCTCTGGTGAATCCTCTCACCCTCCCGCGCATCTGGCCTGTACCCCAGTTCTTGTATAGAAATAAATATCTCGGGGCCTCCCTGATGGCGCAGCAGTTGAGCGCTGGGCTGCGAAGCTGCCTGTAGCCTCTGCAGCACCGGTTTGATCCCCAGCTGCCAGCGAGGGTCCCACATGGCACATAGACCTCTCCTGTCTCGCCCGCTGCTCCCCTCAGCAGTGTATTTCTTCATCAGTTTGCCTGTTCTGTTCCCCGCTCTGGCTCTGGTGAATTCTCTCACCCTCCCGCGCTTCTGACTGTACCCAGTGCTTATATAAATAAATAAATTAATCTTCTTAAAAATAAATAAATATCTCTTTAAAAAAAATAAAAATAAAAAGTAAAAGCAGAAAAAGGTATTATCACGTGCGGCTACCTACTCAGGCTTCTCCGAAGCAGCCCTGTCTCACACAGAAGCCCCAGGCACAGGGCTGTTCCCCTGGGTGTTCATCGCAATGAGATAAACCGCGCGCTCAGTCTCCCGTTGCCTCAGCCAAGGCCAGGGGCTCGGGGCACCCGTGGCGAGTGCAGACATGCGCTGCCCGCTCCGCTCCTCTCCTGCTCAAGTGGCCTGATGGGAGCAGCTGCAGAGCGACACATTGATGGGCGCCCCACCGCCAAACCTGGTCGCCCAGCCAACGGCATCAAATAGAGTCGTCTCTGGGCTCAAGAAGATGCAGAAGCACCATTTAAATTAAAATGAAAGTTGAACAGCCTCAGAAGTCCCGAGGCCTGCTCACGGGACACATCTGGGTGTTCCAGTAACCCCAAGCCCGGGCAGGGTTCCCTTCTGCCTTGTTGGGAGCAAGTCCTCCCCCACAACCCACCCCCCGCCCTTTTCTCCACCTGACAAGACACACGCCACACCCCATCTCTAAGTTCTTCAAGGATGTGCTAAGTCAGAGAGCTTCTCCGCTGCTGAGGTTCCCCCCAAATCCAGCAGGGTGGCACCTTCCTCTCTGCGTGGGCTCCCCATGCTGTCAGTCCCAGGACAAGGAAGTCGCAGTTTCTCCCAGACTCAAGGTCAGAAAACATCCACACCAATCAGGGAAGCCATGTCACCCTTCCTGAGACACAGGCTGTGGACCCAGGGCCCAGCGGGTGGCCTGGTCGTCACCCCCCTTTGAGGGAAGGGGAGAATGTGCTTACATTGCAGACCAGGGAGACCTGGAATAAGCCACAAGCTCTGTAATTACGCCTCGTGACAGCTTTGCAGCTAATGAATAGCTGCTGGTTTCCCATGAGGAAGATGCAGCATAGCAGCAGAGACGTAGGTGTATGAAGAACTAGGGAGCCTGGGAATAGCCCTTCCCGCCCCTCCATCACCACGGGGAATCAAGGACCAGAAGGCTCGGATCCCTTCCTTCTCTCCCTCCTCTCCAGTGGACGGGCCAGGGTGGCTCTCGCCCCTGGTTCTGCCTCTGGGGACAGCCCCCTCTACTGGGGACTGTGAGCAGGGTAGCCCACATTTTGGGGAATAGTTTTCCAGAGAGCACCCGCCCCCAGCACCATACGGAGAAAGAGACCCCCTTGTAGCTTTCCAGCCACCAAGGACCCCAGCTCTTCACACACCATAGTGCCAACAAATGAAAATTCCAGTGCCCCACACAGAAGTGGCATTGACAGACAGGACAATGGGCCACTGTGAGGCAGCGAGCTGTGTCCAGGACTGAGAGCAACAGGGCATATTCCTGGCACCAACAATGACCATTGTCTTGGGTCGACAGCCTTGAAAAAGTCACCAGACATCTCCACTGCGAATGCCAGGCCTCTGCTACACCCGGGTATCATGAAGACTGGAAGGGTAGGATGCAGATTCCACCTTCAAGAAGTTCACATTCCAGCACTGGCACGTTAGCTCCTGGTGCAGAGGTCAGATCACAGACCTGGAGCTCAGGCTGCTGGGTCAAATCCTGGGCAGGCCACACATGAGCTCTGCGACCCTAAAGACTTAAACTGCTCCGTACCTCAATTTCCCCATCTGCAAAATGCAGACAACATCAAAGCTACTTCATGGGGTTGTTGTGAATATGAAGTGAGGTAACACACGTAAGGGGCTTAGAACACATGCACAGAAAGCAGTGAGGAAGTGTTGGCCGCTGTAACGCAGCGTTAGCTCGTGGTGCACAACCCACTGGACGTGCGTGACCTCTGCGGGGAGCGGATGAGCACCCTGACATTGTGTTTACAATGCACAAACATG